TTGTCAGATTTTACCTTCTTTACATGACTTTTCATATATTTTCACTACCTCTACCCTGTCCATATCCTAGCAAACACCCTTTTACAATAAGTATATGTAATAAAGCCTGGTTGTCAATTCACAAGAAACTTTTCTCCTTCAAGAACACAGTTGAACTTTTTCTACATCTCAAACTAAAATTCTAGTGTTTATTTTTCTGTTTCTAGCTTATATAAGTATTCAGTGTTAATTGGTGGCTCTAAATTCAAAAATATGTATTACAAAGTATTCCACTGCTTCCTCATGAAAACCAATCTACATCACTACTATATGTAAAGTTTGATGATGAAATTAACCTAAAGGACGAGGCTATAGGTTTGGATGTACCAAACCCAAAACTACAGAATTGATCTCTCCCTCCTGTGTACTTTTACACACTTTTGACAAAGTACCTATAATACTTTGTTGTGCTTATTTGTTTCTACTTTTCTGGTCATCCAACTATAACTTCTTGAGGACAGGATAATGCAGTACAGAGCTTTATACTGCACCTGACACATAAGAAGCAATCACTAAATAAAGAATAAATGGGTAGCTTACATAAAAGCAGGAAAATGACTTTTTCCCCTCCATTTATTTCCCTGAGTAGTGCTCAGTTGGACAGGTATCTACTTTTGGCAAATGCCTAAAATACATCTTTAAAAAATCTGTTATTTTAAAAAATATCAGAAATCTAATCATGACATAGCAAAGTTGACTTATTAAACTGTGATCCAAGTTTCTTTCTTTTTTTTTTTTTTTTTTGACAGGCAGAGTGGACAGTGAGAGAGAGAAAGAGACAGAGAGAAAGGTCTTCCTTTGCCGTTGGTTCACCCTCCAATGGCCGCCGCGGCCGGCGCACCGCGCTGATCCGATGGCAGGAGCCAGGAGCCAGGTGCTTTTCCTGGTCTCCCATGGGGTGCAGGGCCCAAGCACCTGGGCCATCCTCCACTGCACTCCCTGGCCACAGCAGAGAGCTGGCCTGGAAGAGGGGCAACCGGGACAGAATCCGGCGCCCCGACCGGGACTAGAACCCAGTGTGCCAGCGCCGCTAGGCGGAGGATTAGCCTAGTGAGCCGCGGCGCCGGCCCATGTGATCCAAGTTTCTATCAAAACAGTTGCTAACCACTCTGAGTCTACACAGGTGGTAGAATTCTAGCCAAACTGAATTGAGACTGTCTAAAAGGGGCTCCCAACACTTAGAACTCTGAAGGGTGTCTGTAAGTTACCATGATTCTGACCTCAAACCAAGCTACCAAACCAGAACCAGACCATCTTTAATCCTGTACTCAGTTCACTACAATTTCTTGTAACATTTCCAAGTTGTTACATATTTTTCGGTAATATACCCCATTAGTTTCACATTGCATTTATTTAAAAAATCAAATAAATTCCAGAAAATTATTCTCAGGTATTAATAACATCACTTGCCACTATAACTACTAAAACTGGGAGAGAATTCTAGTATAACCAAAAAAAATGAGTCAATCCTCATTTTTTAAATAGCCAGATAGTGTTAATGCCAAAAAAGGAATACTTCCTATTATTTAAAAGGTAAATATCATTTCCACTAGAAATTTACTGGGGCTAACAGCCAATATAAAATCTGACCTGTTTTTATTAGCAGTCTAAGTTGTCAAACAGGCTTGAGTCTTGGGCTTAGAACAGCTCAGGAAAATATGACTGCTAACCAAAGAACCTGAGGGCAGGGAGCCAAATTAGTTTTAGTCCTTCCCTCACTGGGCTGGAGTTTAACAAGTTAACTAAAATATTAAGAAGTCTTGGCCGGCGCTGTGGCTCAATAGGCTAATCCTCCGCCTTGCGGCGCAGGCACACCAGGTTCTAGTCCCGGTCGGGGCGCCGGAGTCTGTCCTGGTTGCCCCTCTTCCAGGCCAGCTCTCTGCTGTGGCCCAGGAGTGCAGTGGAGGATGGCCCAAGTGCTTGGGCCCTGCACCCGCATGGGAGACCAGGAAAAGCACCTGGCTCCTGGCTTCGGATCAGCACGATGCGCTGGCCGCGGCGGCCATTGGAGGGTGAAAGGAAGACCTTTCTCTCTGTCTCTCTCTCACTGTCCACTCTGCCTGTCAAAAAAAAAAAAAGAAGTCTATGTTTCTCTCTTATCAACCCCTTAAGTTTATTTAGAATGACAGCAACTACAACAAACTAACTACACTGGGAATTTGAATCTTTATAATTTGCATCATCAAACTGGAAACTCATATTTCATGTGTATGTATGTATGTACACGTATCCTCACTGAGCCCCATATAAAGAAAACTAAACAGCCAGGTATCGGGGAGAATTCCACATTTGCTCTGATCATGTATCAAGGTCATCTACAAGAGGAAGGGAATGGTACATGAGGAAGGTGCTGAAGAAAGCCAGGGCAGTGGTTCATAAACCAGCTTTCCCAACACACAGCAGCCACCAGGCAAGTTAATCTGTCGCCTCACTGCTTTTTTATGTAAATTTGACAATGAGGACAAAAGAAAAAATTCTGGGTTCCTGCTCTCTTTTCTTTGGGGGTCTGGACCCTATCCATATATCCCTCTCCTCCTTCCCATCACTCTCTCTCCATATCCTCACATACTTAAACTTTTTGAAAAAAATGTCTTAAAATGTGAATACAGGCTTACATCTATTTTCATGTTGGATAATGAAATGCAGCCAATACATCTGGGCACTCTGGTTTTACAGTCAAGGAAATGGGGAGAGCTTTGCACCCCCTCAAGTATTTCACACTCTTGAGAATGAAGGTTATCCCTACAGGACCATAGGAAAGCTTAGTAGAAACACTATGGCAATATAGGTTCATAAAGCAGTTCAAGCGGTTGGCTCAAATTCTGTAACACAGAACAAATGTCTGAAGCCTGGGGAAGAGAAAGAATTCTGTGTCCTGTTTACAGTAAATGTTCAATTTGTTAAATCAGATTATTAGACTCTAGGCCTTACTGGGTTCCTTTTATGCCTCCTCTCAGCATTTCTGAAGTGGGGCACAGGAAGGAAAGAGTAACTCCAGCAAACCAACAGACCCTTCCCATACTGTGTATAGAGCAGCATGAAACACAAGGCAACTCATTCACAGCCAGTGCGTGGAGAGGGGTCACCGAAGACTATGTGGCCAGCGTGACATAGCATATACACCTAACCTCCAGCAAAGATGACTTGACCTTGCTATAGGACAAAGCAAACAGGAACGCTCCCTCTGCACTCAGGGCACTTAGCTGAGGCAAAAGTCCCCTTCTTTCGCTGACATTTCCCCCTTTACTATTTAGGACAATACAAAATATCTTGCAAAGCTTGCTACTGGGGACAACAGTATCACAGCACCTGTCCCGACCGAATCAATGTTGTGTTTTTTTTTTTTTAAAGGATCATTTGCTTCTTAATCCAGTCCAACAGTCATTTGCTAAGGTACCAGAAAGGATACTATACAACAGTTCAGACGCTGCGTGTGGAAGACATTAAAAGCTTTTCTTAGATTACATCTTCACAGCAGAAATCGCAAATACTGACAAAAAGGAAATGATTTCATAGAGATTCTTTTATGCAGCGAATGTTTCGTGCAGCAGTTACATAATTTCAGGGATACCGCAAGATAAAGATAATAGATGTAAGACACTGCCCCCGGATCGTTCAAAAAGTAGGCTATGCCCGGTAACTGGCAGCGCCCAGCCTCCCGGAGCCTCCAGCCAGCCCCGTGCGGGCAGCGCGCGTTCGCCCGCCGCCCCGCGCCTCGCGTCCATCCCCTCGCGGCCGATCCCACACGCCCTCCCCCCGCGCCGCGCCGCGCCGCGCCGCGCACAAGGCTGGAGAGCAAGCCCCGGGAACTCTCACAGGCCGGCCAGTGCGAGCAAAGGGAAGGAAATGACACAGGCAGGAAAAAAAAGCAAATCAAGGAAAAGACACAACAGCAGCTGGGCCTGCACCAGCCTCCAGCCCGGGCCCCACACTGCGCTCTCGCTCCCCCGCCCTCGGGCTCGCGCGCCGGCTCGCTGGGGCCGGAGCGGGCGGCCCGGCGGAGCACGGGCCCCGGGTCCCGCCGCGCCGCCCGGAAGGAGGGCTGCCGAGCGGGAGCCGCCGGCGGGACCGCCCTGGCAGGCCGCAGGGAGCCCGAGCCCCCGCCCGGGACGCGACGCCGGCCGGCGGTCCGCAGCTCCCGGCCCGGCGGGCTGTCCATGCCTGTCAGGCGGCGGCCCGGGGTCCTCCTCCCCTCATCCCGGGGCGGGGCGTCGCGAGGCAGCGCGGGCACAGGCCGGGGCGGTGGCGACACTCACCCATGGTGGCGATGGCGGCGGCGGCTCGGGTCCGAGAGTGTCACCTCCGCAGCCGGAGCTGCATGCCGGGGGCCCGGGCGGCGGGGACGGCAGCGGGCCTGGCTCCGCGCGGGGGGCGCGGGCTGCGCTCGGGGCCCCCGCCGCCTGCCCAGGCTCCGGCTCCGGCTCCGGCCGCGACCGGGGACTGTGGCATGGGCAAGGTGGCCCGCTACATCCCCGGCGCTCCTGGGCTCGGCCCAGCCCGGCCTCGGCGGCGCCGCTCGGCCCGCCCGCCCGCCAGTCCCTCAGTGCCGCAGTCGCTCCGTCCGGCCACCGTTCTCCACCTCAGGAACGCTCCGAAAAACAAACCGCTGGTCGCGCAGCTCGCCCCCCTGCTTGTCACTCACACCAGCGCTCGCCAATCCCAAGCAGTGGCTGGACCTTCGCGCCACCCCTACTCGCTTCATCAGCCAATGACGAGGAGGAAGTCGGCAGCCCCCCCCCCGTTGCCCCCCCTCCGGCTCTCTCCCAACACCCTCACTCTCAGTCGCCAGCTAATCATCAGCACCACACGATGAACCAATCCCGCCCACTCTCGCAGGATGCCAATGGGCGAAGCCAAGGCGGTTTCCGAGGACAGTCTAGCGCCTGCCAATCACCGAGACAGCGCCCGGTTCCCCGCGCTACTAGCCAATCAAAGAGAGGGCTCTGAGCACCCGCCTCTGCGCATCCCTCGCTGGCGGCCTCGCCCTCTCTCCCTGGGAGGTGTTGGTCACTCCAATCACGGCTCCGGCGCGAGGCTCCGCCCACATTCCCACCTCCCGTCAGTCCCCGACGGCTCCGCGGGCGCGCGGGCTGGCGCGGTTCCCTGCCGGCTACTTAGGGGCTGGGGTTAGGAGAAGGCGGCCGCCGGGCCCCTCAGGCCTTCCGCCCTCCGGGTTCTCCGCGGGCTGGGCGGTTCCGGAGGCCGGCACCCCGCTCCTTCCCGAGCCCAGCACGGTGCGCGGGATGAGCGGGGAGGCTCTGGCTCCGAGCGCTGCCCAGCTTGCGGCCACCTCTGCCGCGGGATCCCTGGTCGAGGCTGCCGTCCGGACGCGTAGCTCTTCCCCCGGGTCGCAAACCTCCGGGGCCACGCCCTCCGGCCTAGGTTCCTCGGCCCCGGAGGTTGGGACAGTCCTGCAGTGTGGGTTCCTGGAATTCGGTGAGTTCTTTCAGAAAATAGTTTCCTTTTTTCTGGTTGTGAAAGCAACACGAGTTTTGTAGAAAACGATCGAAAGATACGGAAAAGTATAAAAAGGAAAATGAAAAGCTCAGGTCATGCAACGTGTGCCGAAAGTGGCTTCGCATTGTCTTGTAGTGTGCGTACATTTTATTCTAAGCGTTTTCCCGTGCCACTAAACATTGCTTCAAAACAATACTGACTGCATATTTCAGAAAAAGTGACCGTAATTAATTGCTCCAACCCTCACCCCCTCCCCATTGTTCAACATTCTATACACCCAAATCTTCAGACTCAGTTTCAGTGTAATGTCAGACTCCAGAATAATCTTTCTCAGGTGCCACTGTCAATTAAGAACCTTTCATGGTGGCTTGGCCTGAAGAATTATTTTGGGCTCTTCCTTTTTTATCCCCACCCCTCAATATGTAGTATAGTTCCCTTGTCCTGTTGGTTTTGTTTTTTTTTTTTTTTTTTCCTCCAACAAGCTCTTGTGTCTCTGAGTCCCGATTTATTGTAACGGGGAGACAAGAGTAAAAGGGAAAGAAACGGTCATTTGTTATATACCACTATGTACACCCCCTGATTTAATCTGAGTAGCTCCAAGGTAATTAATAATACTGTGGTAGGCATTTATCTAACCTTTAAAGCCATTAGGATACCTGTGTCCACACGGGTGTCAGTGGTTTGATTCCTGGCTCTGGCTCCTGACTCCAACTTCCTGATAATACAGACCCTGGGGGGCAGAGGCGATGTCCCAAATGATTGGGTCTCTGTCACCCACCTGGGAGACCTGGATTGAGTTGGCCCCTGGCTTTGACACTAGCTAGGGGCCACTGCAGTTATTTGGGGAGTGAACCAGTGGATGGGAATTCTCTGTCTCTCCCTCTGCCCCTCAAATACATTATTAAAGAGGAATTTAGGTGATGAAAATAAAGCTCAGAGAGGTTAACTAGTACAACCATGTGGTGGAACCAGGATTCACACCAGGTCTGCCTGGCTCCTAAAGGCCATGCTCTTATGTTAGGTCAGTGTTTCTCAATCCTCCTTATTCACTCCACTAGAAGAAAAAATTTAAATTAGTTAATTTTACCTAACTTGAGCTTCAAAGGCCATGCATCACTGTATAATCTGAGGTTTTAAAATTTTAATTAATTTATTTCAGAGAAGAGAGTTCCTGTCCACTGGTTCCCTCCCCAAATGTTGGAAGCTGAGAACTCAATCCAGGTCTCCCACATGGGTGGCAGGGACCCACCCACTGGAGCCATCGCCTTCTGCCTTCCAGTATCTAATACACTGGCAGGAAGCCGGAATTGAGAACAGAGCCAGCATTTGAACTCAGGCACTGTGGGATGCAGGCATCCCAACCAACATCTTAAGTCATAGGCCAAAACCAACCCCCTAAGTTTTTTCTTTTTTTCACCCCTTGAGAACCTATATTTGCTTTGTTGGGGACATTATTACCCTGCTGACAATATATGTAACAGGCCAAACTGGAAGTCATTATTTGCTAACCTGAGGTCCGGACCTGACCCTTAGTTTTATTGGCCTGTGAGTTTTATATATATATATATATATATAGAGAGAGAGAGAGAGAGAGAGAGAGAACATATTATGCCAATGGAAATCTAGTACCTACTCCAAGGCCTGTATGCGAAGGTCTGCTCAGCAGCTTACCTCTGATTTAACATACAAGTTAAAAATTGATTTAAGTACAAACCTGGACGGGGGGCTCTTCCTGTATTCTTCTCTTCCCCTATCACCCATATATCCAAGCAAGTCTTTTCAGCTCTTGTTTCAAAATGTATCTGAATCCAACCATGTCCACTGCCACCAGCCTGTCCAAGCCACTGCCTTTGTCTCCTGGATGACTGTCCTAGTCGCCTGTCTGATCTCCCTTTCCGGTGCCGGCAGTTCAACAAATCATTCTCCAGCAGCAACCAAGAGAAATCCTTCTAAAATGTAGTTCCCATCACGTGGCTCCCCTGCTGTCAGTCCTCCAGTGGCTTCCCTCCCCTTAGAATAAAATCCCAACTCTTCTCATGACCCACCCAGTCCAGCAGAAGCTGGCCCTGGCCTCGTCTCCTGCCTCTTCTTTCTTCCACCATTCTCTCTCTCCCTCCATCACTGCCCACCTGGCCTTATTCTTTGAACTCACCAGGCTTTTCTTCTCAGAATCTCTTTTTATTATTATTATTTTTTTTTTTTACAGGCAGAGTTAGACAGTGAGAGGGAGACAGAGAGAAAGGTATTCCTTTCGTTGATTCACCCCCCAAATGGCCGCTACAGCTGGCGCACTGCACCGATCCAAAGCCAGGAGCCAGGTGCTTCCTCCTGGCCTCCCATGCGGGTGCAGGGGCCAAGCACTTGGGCCATCCTCCACTGCCTTCCCGGGCCACAGCAGAGAGCTAAACTGGAAGAGGAGCAACCGGGACTAGAACCCGGAGTGCTGGCGCTGCAGGCGGAGGATTAGCTTAGTGAGCAGTGGCACCGGCCTCTTCTCAGCATCTCTGCATTTGCCATTTGTTCTGCCTGGCCTGCTTGTTCCCGTCTCTGTAGCTTGTTCAGGTGTGTGCTCAAACATCAGCTCTTATGAGAAGTCATTCATGACCACCCCATGCTAAATAGCCCCTCCCCTTGTCATTCTCTGTTCTCAAATTTTTCTTCATTGTACCTGAAGTTATATATTTCTTTGCTTTCCTCCAACTACAACACTCATAAGCTGTGTAGAAGCAGGGATTTTGTGCTACACTCTATCACCAACACTCAGAATAGTGCCTCACACACAGGAAACTGCAGCCATGTCTCTGTCCACTCCTCTCCCATTCCTGGCTCCACTATCCTAGTTCAAACTCTCAAAATCTCTTACTCAGATTAATCTAACAGCCTTTGGGTAGATATTCATATCACAGAGTCATCTTTCTAAAACAGACACTTGATTCTGTCATATGCTGCCTGACAACTTTAGTTTCCCATCGCCCTTCCAGTAAGTTAATTATATAAATGTAGTTACAAAGCCCTTCAGGACCCAGTGCATTCCTTCTCCAGCTACACATCTTCCCATTTTCCATCTGCACCAAATTCTATGCTCCAGCCCCATGGAACCACAGGTGGTTCCTCAAATACAGCTCTCATGCCTCTCTACCTCTGCATGTGCTATGTTGTCTATACTGAAAGCTCTTCTTGGGACCAGTGTTGTGGCTCAGTGAGTTAAGCCAATGCTTACGCTGCTGAAATCCCCTATCACAGTGCTGGCTGGAGCCCTGGTTGCTCAGTTTCAGATTCAGCTCCCTGCTAATGTGCCTTGGAAGGCAGAAGATGGCCCAAATGCTTGGGCTGTTGCCAACCATGTGGGAGACCAGGATGGAATTCCTGGCTCCTGGCTTCTGGCTCAGACGTAGCTGTTGTGGTCATTTGGAGAGTGAACCAGTAGATGGAAGATCTCTGTATTTATTACTTTGCCTTTCAGATAAATCTAAACCAAACCAAACTGAACAAACAAACAAAAGAACCCAGCTCTTCATTACTCTCCCACCCCCATTCTTTCAAGGAAGTAAGCCTAAACAACACTCCCTCCAGGAAGCCTTCCTAGGTACCTCCAAATCTGGGCTAAAGCCCTCTGACATGCTCCCAGAGTCCCCAGTACTTTCTTCAACAAAGCACTTGTTCCATTCTATTGTAAATGCCTTTAACCAAGTAAGCAAGTCAGCATGCCTACCACCTTTTATTCTTTAAGATTTATTTATTAGGCCGGCGCCACGGCTCAACAGGCTAATCCTCCACCTAGCGGCGCCAGCACACCAGGTTCTAGTCCCGATAGGGGCGCCGGATTCTGTCCCGGTTGCCCCTCTTCCAGGCCAGCTCTTCGCTATGGCCCGGGAGTGCAGTGGAGGATGGCCCAAGTGCTTGGGCCCTGTACCCCATGGGAGACCAGGAGGAAGCACCTGGCTCCTGGCTTCTGATCAGTACGGTGCATCAGCCACAGCGCGCCGGCCACAGCGACCATTGGAGGGTGAACCAACGGCAAAGGAAGACCTTTCTCTCTGTCTGTCTGTCTGTCTGTCTCTCTCTCTCTCACTGTCCACTCTGTCAAAAAATAAATTAAAAAAATTTTATTTATTTGAAAGGTAGAATTAGAGAGAGAGAAGGAGAGACAGAGAGATCTTCCATCCACTGGCTCATCCCCTAAATGGCCACAATGGCCAGGGCTGTGCCAGGCTAATGCCAGAAGCCAGGAGCTTCTTCCAGTTCTCCCATGTGGGTGTAGGAGCCAGGAACTTGGAACATCTGCTTTCTCGGGTGTACTAGCAGGGGGCTGGATGTGAAGTAGAGCAGCGGGGACGCAAACTGGCACCTAAATAGGATGCTGGCACTACAGACGGTGGCTTAACCCACCGCGCCACAGCACTGGTCCCACCTACTACCTTTCCTAGCACATTCAAAAAACATAAATGCTTGTTGAATAAATCAACCTCAAATGGAGATGTTAGTAATTGAATGTAATTTCCACAAATGTGCTTTTCGGTTGTATATTTTAACTTTTCCTACATTGCTTTCTGTCATTTTCCCTATGTGAAACTTCCCAGACAGGCCATGGCTTTGCAAAGCTGCCCTCTGGTTTTACATGCAGTGGATACCCCTGGGTAAGCATCCAAGCCACACTTGCCCCCAGTGCTTAGAGCCACAAAAAGTGCTGGTTCCACCAAGCCACCCCAGCACACACTAGCTGCACTTTTCTTCTTTCATGAACTTGGAACACCTGGGTACACGATACAAAACAATAAACAGAGATGAATGAATGCTCTTAGGGGATAGCTCCATAGATTTGTTGTAAAAAAAAAAAAAAAAGAAGAAAAAAAAAGTGTATCACCTGATTTGGTGAAAATTCCTTTAATTTAGAGGCAAAGCAGAATATATTTGAATTACCAGTTTAAATAGCTAATCTGTGTTATCAAGGAGTAATGAACAGTTCATACAAGATGCTGACAAGCAGGAAGTCTTATAAATTAGCACTTCTAAATAAAACTTGTTTTTTCACTTTGAAGTTTTAAGATTTATTTATTTGAAAATCAGAGAGAGAGAGAGAGGGAGAGAGAGAGCGCGCGCTTCCAACTGCTGATTCACTACCCAGATGGCTGCAACAACCAGGGCTGGGCCAGGCCAGTGCCAGAAGACAGGAGCTTCATTAGGGTCTCCCACGTCGGTACAGGGACCCAAGCACTTGGGCCATCTTCTGCTGCTTTCCCAGGCCATAGCAGCGAGCTGCATCAGAAGTGGAGCAGCTGAGACAAGAACCAGCACCCAAATGGGATACCAGCATTGTAGGTGGCAGCGTTACTTGTTACGCCACGACACTAGCCCCTGAAATTCTACTTCTATAAATTTGTCCCAAAGGATATGTTGCAAGCAAGCAAAGGTAAAGAATGTTCATTGCAGAGCCAGTGTTGTGGCACAGTGGGTGAAGCCAACGCCTCTGATATCGATACTATATGGCAGCTGGTTCATGTCCTAGCTGTTCTACTTCCAATCCAACTCCCTGCTGATGTGCCTGGGAAAGCAGTGGAAGACTGCTAAGTGCTTGGGCCTCTGCCACCCCTGTGGGACACCTGAATGAAGCTCCCAGCTTTGGCTTGGCCCAGTCCTGGCCACTGTGGCCATTTGGGGAGTGAACTGGCGGATGGGAGATCTCTCTCTCTTTCTGTGTCTCTCCCTCTATTAACTCTGCCTTTCAAATAAAAATCTTTTTTTTTTCTTTTTTAAAAGAATGTTCATTGTAGCATCTCGTGTAAGATCATCCCAATGTCCACTGACAGAAGACTAGTTAAAGAAATTAGGCCGGCGCCGTGGCTCACTAGGCTAATCCTCCGCCTAGCGGCGCCGGCACACCGGGTTCTAGTCCCGGTCGGGGCGCCGGATTCTGTCCCGGTTGCCCCTCTTCCAGGCCAGGGAATGCAGTGGAGGATGGCCCAGGTGCTTGGGCCCTGCACCCCATGGGAGACCAGGAAAAGCACCTGGCTCCTGGCTCCTGCCATCGGATCAGCGCGGTGCACCGGCTGCGGCGGCCATTGGAGGGTGAACCAACGGCAAAAGGAAGACCTTTCTCTCTGTCTCTCTCTCTCACTGTCCACTCTGCCTGTCAAAAAATAAAAAAATAAAAAAAAAAGAAAGAAATTATGGTATATTAAACAATACAATATTAGGTAGCTACTAAAAAGAATGAAGAGTAGATACCAAAAAGGTATCCGAGATATTTTGTGAAGTGGAATTGAAACCAAAAAAAACCCAAATAAGTTATAAAGCAAAAGGTACACAGTCAGCACATTACATTTTTAAAATGTTAATTCATACTTAGTGGGGAAAAGGCCAACATTTACTAAAATCTTACTATTGCCAGGCATTGTCTTATGTGCTTAGCCATCTAAGGGTTCAGGGTTCAATTCCAAGTGCTCCCCACTAAAAGTACTTAACATACATAGCTTATTTCTCAAAACAGCTCTATAAAATAGGTGCTATTATTAGCCCACTCCCCTCTTTAAGATAAAGCCGGCGCTGTGGTGCAGCGGGTTAAAGCCCTGGCCTGAAGTGCTGGCATCCCATATGGGCGTGGGTTCTAGTCCGAGCTGCTCCTCTTCTGATCCAGCTCTCTGCTATGGCCTGGGAAAGCAGTAGAAGATGGCCCAAGTGCTTGGGCCCCTGCACCCACGTGGGAGACCTGGAAGAAGCTCCTGGCTCCTGGCCTCGGATTGACACAGCTCTGGCCGTTGTGGACATCTGGGGAGTGAACCAGCGGATGGAAGACCTCTCTCTCTGTCTCTACCTCTCTCTCTAACTCTTTCAAATAAATAAAATTAATCTTTAAAAAAAAAAAAAAAGATGAAGAAACAGGTGGGAAGAGAGGTTCTTGCCTAAGGTTGCTAGTAACTGGCAGAGCCAGAATTTGTTCCCTAGCAGACTGGCTCCAAAGAGTAGAACACGACACACTAGGTTGTTCATGGTGGTTGTATCTTAGGAGGTAGGACTAATGGAAGCTTTTGTTGTGGTTGTTATATATTTCTGTAAGATTTTATTTTTTAAAACAAATAAATATTACCTTTTTAAGGTAATACCTATTTATTTATTTGAAAGTCAGAAATAGAGAGAGAGAAGGGGAGAGAAAATCTTCCATCTGCTGGTTCACTCCCAAAATGACTGTAACATCCAGGCTGGGTCAGGCGAAAACCAGGAGCCAGGAGCTTCTTCTTGGTCTCCCACGTGGGTGCAGAGGCCCAAGCACTTGGGCCATCCTCCGCTGCTTTGCCAGGTGCATTACCAGGGAGCTGGATCAAAAGTGGAGCAGCGGGGCCAGCATTGTGGCGCAGTTGGTTAACACCCTGCCCTGAAGCACCGGCATCCCATATGGGCGCCGGTTCTAGTCCCGGCTGCTCCTCTTCCAATCCAGCTCTCTGCTATGGCCTGGGAAAGCAGTAGAAGATGGCCAAAGTCCTTGGGCCCTGCACCCGCATGGGAGACCCGGAAGAAGCTCCTGGCTCCTGGTTTCGGATCGGCACAGCTCCGGCCATTGCCACCATCTGGGGAGTGAATCAGCGGATGGAAGATCTGTCTCTACCTCTCTCTGTTCTTTCAAATAAATAAAATAAATCTTAAAAAAAAAAAAAAAAGTGGAGCAGCTGGGACTTGAACTGGCACCCATATGGGATGCCGGTGCTGCAGGCAGAGGCTTAACCTACTGTGCCACAGTGCTGCTCCCTCCCTTTTAAATATTTTTGACAGCAAACGATAAAAAAAGAAGACAAGTAAAAACTACTATCCTGTCCATTGGCTGGACATGGAATAAGGAGGGAAAGTAAGCTGAGTAAAGATAGTGTGGTATCTAGCATCAGGTTCCTCTTGCCTGCTGGGTCTCTCAGTAGATCTTTTTAAATTTTTTCTCTTCATAGAATGTCTCCAGAGGAACCCACAGGGATTGAGATACAGTCTGGGAGTTGGGGCACATGGAGTCCGAAGCCTTACCGACTGCTTGTGCTATTGGTTTCAGAGAGGAAAAGCAGCTCAGCTCCGTGGCCAAAGCCGTCACGGCTCTCCTGGCTCTTCTGACTGAGCCAGGGCCTTTTGCAAAGGGAGGCAGCTTCACACTTGAGTGCTCTCAGAGGAGTCAAAGCTGTGGGCTGCCCCTGTCACGGATACCTTCATCCTTCCAAGGACACTTGGAAATAAGCCTAGGCTGCCTTCAAGGCCTTGAATGATTCTGTGTTGCTAAGACTATTACTAAAGATACGGCCAGGCCAGCCAGTACTGATCCCAGTCCTCTGACTTTAAGCTGCACCTGACTGCTGGACTCTCAGATGCTGTCTTCCTAGCTGGACAACTATGTGCAGTTTTTTTTTTTAATTAAAATATTACATAATATAGTATTATATATCATTTATAATTTTGACACTATATTATATAATAAATGACTACAGAAAATAAAACTCAGTAAGATCATCATTACCCTGAGGACAGTTTTGATATTTTGATACATTTCCTTCTAATATTTTTAAATTCACATATATACTTCAGAAGTTGAACCACACTACATACAATCTTGTATCATTTTTTCCCCATTTAATATTAAATGTAAACATTATGACATCATACATTCTTTGAAAAATAATTTTAGAGGCAGCACAACATCTCATCATCTGGATGTAACCATCTTTATTTAACTAGCTCCAAATCTTTACCGCATCCAGAGAGCAGAAGAGATAAAGTAAAGGTTCATTTCTGCAGAGCACCACCAGGGGTCAGCCCAAAGCCAAAGAGATACTACAAGCATGCCCTGATGTAGAAAATCAGTGACGCGACAATCCACATTAATAAATTACATTAGATTAGCAGAGGCCTATTCACTTGAGTCGCCAAGTTCCCTTCAAGAACGGGCTCACTTAGTACAGATTTCTCAGATTAGAAATGATTAGATTCCTTCCAGTTAATTTATATCCTACAGTTCCAAAACAGCTATTTTATAAACCAATGTCTATAAAGACAAGGTGTGGTATTAGATTTGTTCTCACCTGCTTAGTATGAATGCATAGAATTGGGCTATTTTGTAAGCTTTTTTTAGGAAAATCAAATAACAGATAAAAGTATCTTATAAATTATGAAGCAGCATATAAACTTCAAGGTCCTTGATTCTGATGTGTTTCTCAGATATTTGGATGGAATATCTCCTACAAAAACTAAAGAATCCTGGCTAGTATGATTATGCAATGAGGTATAAGAGCATATATTTTGGCATGCAATCATGGATTCCTTCATTGGTTGCCCACCCCCGCAACCCCTGGCCCTGCTCTCCAACTGTTGAAGTCACTGTAGAATTAGTGATCTGTTTTTTCTAGAAGCTCAAGTTATGTATAGTCAAATTGATCTTAGTTGTTTTCCATCTTTTTTTGCCTGAAGCTCCTTCAGGATAATTACTCTGAGCCCAGAACTGGCTGGAACAACTAATAAGTAGGTGGGTAACAAGGATCCCAAAGCCACTCCTGACCTGACATGCTTAACAGGCTCCACCAAAGGTGGCTGGCACTCCTGGCCTCTCTAAAGCTAGAAGTGACTATGAGGATACTTCAAAAAGAAAAATGGAATTAGAAAATGAGTTTACTGGCCGGCACCGCAGCTCACTAGGCTAATCCTCCACCTTGCGGCGCTGGCACACCGGGTTCTAGTCCCGGTCGGGATGCCGGATTCTGTCCCGGTTGCCCCTCTTCCAGGCCAACTCTCTGCTGTGGCCCAGGAGTGCAGTGGAGGATGGCCCAAGTGCTTGGGCCTTGCATCCCATGGGAGACCAGGAGAAGCACCTGGCTCCTGCCTTTTGGATTAGCGTGGTGCATCGGCCGCAGTGCGCCGGCCGTGGCGGCCATTGGAGGGTGAACCAACGGCAAAAAGGAAGACCTTTCTCTCTGTCTCTCTCTCTGTCACTGTCCACTCTGCCTGTCAAAATAAATAAATAAATAAATGAGTTTACTTTAGTGAAAAAACATCTTGAAATCCATGTGGTTGTTAAGGTAATATGTATTTGCTGTGAACTTTTTGAAGCACTCTTGAGCAAAAGGTGCCAAGGGCCCTAATTCCTGCCTGGCCATGTTCTCATTTTCTCTCCAGTCTCCAGTGCCCTGTCATTTGGCATCAGAGGCGAAAAGGAGCTAGCATTGGCCTTTCTGGGAACAAAGCAGTTTTCAAAATGAGCTTAGTACAGCTCTTCCTGAGAGAAGCCCAATCTGCTAACAAGTCAACTCTTATCAGGGGGGTCTCTTATTGGCACTTGATCTTCATGGCTACAGCCTTAAGTTGTCTGGTGGAAGAAGGGCACAACGCCATGCGAAGTGAACCAAGATGCACAGGCAGCAACTCGTGCTGCCTTGGGCAGCTCCAGCAGGGAGCAGTCCTTTGTCTTCCCTCTGAGGTTCCATTTTGTTTTTTAAGATTTATTTATTTGAGAGGTAGAGCTACAGAGAGACGGAGAGACAGAGAGAAAGGTCTCCATATGCTGGTTTACTCCACAAACGGCCGCAATGGCTGGAGCTGAGCCAATCCAAAGGCAGAAGTCAGAAGCCTCTTCTCGGTCTCCACGTAGGTGCAGGTGCCCAAGCACTAGGGCCATTCTCTGCTGCTTTCCCAGGCCATTTGCAGGAAGCTGGATTGGAAGTGGAGCAGCCAGGATCTGAACCATTGCCCATATGGGATGCCAATGCCACAGGCAAAGGCCTAGCCCACAATGCCATAGTGCCAGCCAAAGGTTCCATGTCTTAAAGTAGGATCTAACAGGGCACCATCTGAACAGCGTGTGCTCTAAAGTACAGTTCCTAGTATATTGTAGGTATTCCAGAAATACTAGCTGCATGAATAAAAGACAAGTATAGACCATTAGACCACGAAGTACCTGGATAGAGGTACATTTCTATGGCCAATAAAAAACAAACAAACAAAAAAAAACAAAAAACAAACAGGAGACTAGCATTGTGGTATAGTGAGTTAAGCCACTACCTATGACAACAGCATCCTATATCAGAATGCCAGTTTGAGACCCAACTGCCCTGCTTCCAATCCAGCTCCCTGCTAATGTGTCTGAAAAAGCAATGCAAAATAGTCCCAGTATTCTGCCCACAGCCAAAGAGAGCTGGAGTTCCAGGCTCCTGGCTTTGGTGTGGCCCCATCTTAGCCACTGCAGCCATTTGGGAAATAAATCAGTGGAGGGAAGGTCTCTTTCTGTCTCTCTCCCTCTCTCTCTTTCAAATAAGTAAAAACACAATCAATAAGCCTGGGATTGGAGTCACAGAACTAAGCCTCTTGAGCAGAGGGTCCCAACAGGTAGACCCAAACTCAGGAAAATTCAAGTGCGACCCAACAGCAACCAAGTTCAATCACTGTTATTACTTAGGAGCAGCTTCTAGTACACAGAGCCTCTGGGCACCTGCAATCCTCACAGAGCCAACTACTTGAGATCAGAGCCTGACCAGCTGACTGGTCTCACCCTGCATCCAGCAGTATCAGGGGCTCATATTCATCCAGGTAGACCCTGAGAGGCCAGCAAAGCTGACAAGGCCTCCACAGAAGCATGGGATTCCTTGGCCCCAAGACCACAAATCCTGGTCTTAGATCTCCTAACCTGCTAGGCCCCCCATTTGCTCAAGTCTATGGAAGGAACCTAGGGCCACACAGGCCTGGTTACTCAATGTTGTCATAGACACGAATCACATCCTCGTGGTTCCCGAGAGCCTGGATGAGAAGGGCGGCCTGCTCCAGGTCGGGGTCGGCCAGCTGCACCTTCGAGTTGGGGATGAACTCCAGCGCACAGGACACAGAGCACAAGCCCAGGGAGTCCAGCTTCTTCCTCACTTGATGCAGTGAAGAGACATCACAAATAAACTGGGGATAAAGGAGAGTCAAGAGGTGAGGGCCAGGAGGTAATAAGACCAAACTAGACAGAACTCTGCAAAGTCCTGGATGGAACTACTGTAATGTGTTTAAGCTCCTCCCTGGCCCAGACCCAAGTTCTGAATGTTATGAATCCCTCTTGTAGTCCTCAGGACTGTAGTCCATATCCAATACTCACTTAACCAATGTACAGTATGTGAACTCTGCTTTCACCTGTGCCCTAGTGTACAGAAAGAACCAAGAGAGGCATGTGGAACCCATCAAGTGCCAAGGTTTCAATTCTGCAAACAAGTCAATGGAACTGATAAAGCTACCATAAATGGTACATTTATTGCTGAATCTGAGTTTATTTCAGGTGTCCTAATGGGCCACAGTGGGCTGAGCATCTACTTGGCCCATCGGAAGCCCACCAAACACAAAGGCTTCGTACTCACCTTAAAGAGGCTCCTTTCTTCTTCGTCTTCTGTCTCCTTGACATCCTCAGCTCCTGCTTCAATTGCCAGCTCCAGGGCACGCTCCAGGTTCACGGCGTTCTTCTCTCTGTCTTCCACTCCAACCACAACCACCCCCTTTTTGTCAAAGGAATGACGAGCTCCTTCAGCCATCATTCCCCTGGCAGGAAAGCAAACGGGCCAGGGGAGGAGTGTCAATGCCTCTGGTCATTCAGTCTCCATAAAGCACAGTACGCAAACATTCCCTTTCCTACCCAGCCTCTGTAGCACACACAAATGTGTTACAGCAAGATCTCTGAACTAGAAGATGCAGCTGTCTCTCAACAAGGGAACAGTCCAGGAATATCCCTGCCTTTTATTTTCTGCCTAGATTGGAGCCTGGAGGATCAAAGACTTTGTTCATCATGTTCCATGCCAATCAAACGCCTTCCTGGAGGAACATCTTAAGACAGAGAGGATACAGATGGGACAGTGGGACAAAGATCTACTTCTACACTTGAACAACACATCTTTTGGATCCTGCCTAGTACGGAACACATTCAGAGAAAATAAATTATCCCACTGGGTTCTGCTAAGGAAGTATGCTTAAAAGCACCACCAGGGGGGTGGACATTTTAAGTGCCACAGTGAAGTAGCCCCTTGGGATGCCTGCATTCCATATCATAGTGCCTGGTTGAAGCCCTGGCTCCTCCACTTCCAATCCAGCTTCCTGCTAATGCACACCCTGGGAGGCAGCAAGTAATGGTTGAAGTTCTTTAGTCCCTGCCACCCATGTGGGAGATTCAGATTGAGTTCTGGGCTCTGGCTTTAGCCTGGTCCCACCCTGGCTGTGGCAGTCATTTAGGGAGTGAACCAACAGATGGAAGATCTCACTCTCTCTGTCAAACCCAATAAAAATAAATGTTCTTTACAAGTATTATCAGAGACCACTAGTACTTGCCTTGCATAGAATTGAAACCTAAAGTCTTCACCCCCTACAACTTCCCCCAGACACACACCTACCCGTTCTTGTTCAGGATATGTCTAATGTCCGACTGGCACTTGGAGCCACTGTTAGATAACGCCTCAATGAGCAGAGAAGAGCCACCAGGGCCTCGACCCTCATACAGCAAATAAACATCCTTGGTTTTCTGCAATAAACAACATAAGCACATTTTTCTATTTCCCAATTTCTTCCTGCATGCCATCCCTGAATCATAAGGCCCCAAAGCTGACTCCATGATGTGGGCTCTCAAGTCTTCACTTTGTCCCCATCCTCTGGAAGGAGGCAGCTGTTCAGTTATGATCCCTGTTTCCCTGGTTCCAGAACAATCCAGCCGTCTCCTAGCTTTGCTCTCCCACCTTCCCAGCCAAATCCCAAATCTGCCCCTGAGTCACTCCCACAAAATGTATCCTCCTATCCCCCATTCTGCATGAAAGCCACCTGTGATGCCTCGGTACTCCTACCCCTGCAGTGCTGTGAAGCCTCAGTACTCCTACCCCTGCAGTGCTGTGAAGCCTCGGTACTCCTACCCCTGCAATGCTGAGTGCTGAGTGCTGCTGCAGAAAAGCCACACCTCTGGGCCTTCCCACAGGGGCCACAGAAGACAACGTGGTCTCAAAATTCAAACCACCTAGAGCTCTAGTGACCAGTCTCATCTGCTCATTCCTCTACTCCTTCCTACTCATTCCGTCTCCAAATCCAGTCTCTGCTCCTTTCTCCAAGCACCCTGCCCTGCACCTTCCCAAACACTCTGATCTGATGACTCCTTTCCTGTTTCACAAGAAAATCCAGGGCCCTGCATGAGGGGAAAACCCTGTTTCCACAACCTCATCCACAGCGTGGCCTCCAAGAAGGCAGCGTGCACCATGGCTAGAGCACAGGCTCTGGAGCCAGACTCTCTGGTTCCCAGTCCGTCACTGTCTGTGTGACTTGAGTCAGTCACCTAAACGTTCTGTGCCTCATTTTCCACCTAAGGGGCAGTGAAATGCAGAGTTCCTATCAAAGTACTTGGCCTGTTGCAAGCACTCAGTAGCTATGAACATGATTATAACTTCCTCAGTCCTTCTTCCTTGTCTCAGGGGACATCTGAGTTCCTCATCCTGCCTCTCCCACCACCACTAGCACCTCTACCCGCTCCCTTTCTACTGGCTTTTCTCCCTAAGGGTATAAACATCTGAAAAAGAGAAAGAAACCCTTCCTCAATCTAACACCAGGGCTTCCCCCACACCATGCTCCTTCTTTCCACCCCATCTCCTCACAACTCAGCCAAGCAGCCCAAGGCTGCATGGTTCCGCACACTGTCTAGCCAGCCTGCTGCCAACCATGCTCCTTCAACCAATGGTCAAGGACAGAGCTCCCAGCACCCTCTGGGTTCAGGGTGCCAACCACATCGCAACCCTTCTCTGATCACTTAAGGAGTTTCTGGTGGCCTCCTAGGTATGCATCCTGGGGGATATGATCAACAACAAGAATGCCAAACTGAGGACGCACCTCCATCTTCAGTGCCGCCTCAATCGTTGACTTGGGCATGTGCTTGCTGCGACACACCTCTAAGATGTTGGCCAGGTTGCTGTTGAGCTCAGGGTTGGGGCCTCCCTCTGAAATAAAGAGAAAATAGTGAGCAGTGAGCTCTCATTACAACATGGGAGAAAAAGGGGGATTTCCAGGTCCTCACACCCCCAGCCAAAACAGTGATATGTTATCACTTAGTTTTCCATTAGTTTAGAACACTTTTATTTAGTGTTTGAGTGGGATATGGAGAAGTAGCAGTTTGGGAAAGTGTCTAGTTCACTGTCTTTTTTTTCTTTTTTTTTTCTTTTTTTTTTTTCTTTTTTTTTTTTTGACAGGCAGAGTGGACAGTGACAGAGAGAGAGACAGAGAGAAAGGTCTTCCTTTTGCCGTTGGTTCACCCTCCAATGGCCGCCACGGCCGGCGCACTGCGGCCGGCGCACCGCGCTGATCCAAAGGCAGGAGCCAGGTGCTTCTCCTGGTCTCCCATGGGGTGCAGGGCCCAAGCACTTGGGCCATCTTCCACTGCACTCCTGGGCCACAGCAGAGAGCTGGCCTGGAAGAGGGGCAACCGGGACAGAATCCGGCGCCCCGACCAGGACTAGAACCCGGTGTGCCGGTGCCGCAAGGCGGAGGATTAGCCCAGTGAGCCGCGGCGCCGGCCTTAGTTCACTGTGTCTTTAGCTAAGAATTTTATTCTGCTATGTTTTAGTGAACATCACTTTGTATGAAATAAAGAGTTAGGGGATATACCAGCATCTCCTGGACTTATTATTAATATCCCTTGCTCTTACTTTATTATTGCGTACATAATACTGAAATGTTCAAATGACACTATAATCATGCTCATTGACTCTGAGGGTAGGGGCTGTGTCTTATTGTATTTATATTATCAATGCCTGACAATACAAAATAAACATTCGGGGCGAGCATTATGGCACAGTGGATTAAGCCACTGCCTGTGATGCTGGCATATCATTGAGCACTCATTGAAGTCCCAGCCACTCCATTTCCCATCCAGCTCTCTGCTAATGCTCCTGGGAAAGAAGCAGCAGGTGGCCTGAGTACTTGGGCCCCTGCCACCAACGTGGAAGGCCAGAATGGAGTTCCAGGTTCCTGGCTCTGGCCTGCCCCAGCCCTGGTTACTGCAGCCATTTGGGAGTGAACCAGTGGATGGAAGATGGCTCTCTCAGTCTCCCTCTCTCCCTCTGTAACTCTGCCTTTCCAATCAATAAAATAAAATCTTTAAAAAACAATAGTGTTGGCCAAACTTCGCACCAAGAATTGAGAAATAAAAAGGAAAACAATGCAACAAATCAGCTCTGAGTACCAGGGTGGAGTTACACTCACCATCCTGTCTTGCTAGGCTCCTTCTCTGGTAAGCACAGGTGTCTGGAAAGACGAGGGAGGAGAGCCAGCGTGGGAAGGTGTTTGGGAGGGTTTATGAGGTGGGTGACGATGGGAATCGGGGAAGGAACAGAAAACGCAGGTCCCGAGATTCGGGAGGCGAGTGAGGCCTCGGGCTCGGAAGGGCACAGCCTGCCAGCAATGAGTGACAGGTTCTCACCTTTGACTGCCAGGCGAATGCTCAGAGAGAGCTTGGAGAAGACGCGACTTCTTTCAGTGTCCTTGGGACCCTTGATGTGCCGGACTTTGGACCACTTGTTGTGCCCGGCCGGAGCCGCCACGGTGAGGTGCAGCATCCTGCCCAGAGCTGGGCCGCATTCTGGGGGCTCGGGCTGGGCGGCGCGTGGAGGAGCCGCCCGGAACCCGGGACCTGGCGCCCATAAGCACTGGGCAGCTGCCCTGCTCCAGCGGGCCGCGGTCCAAGCTGCCATCGGCTCCGACCCTGGGCTGCACGCTACAAACAGTAGTCAACAAGGTCAGCTCCTATTGTCCGCAGCCAGAAAAAGCAGCTCCAGGCGCTGGAGATCTAAAGGCTTATTTATGGTTGCCTCCGGCAGTCCAACAAGGAATGACCCCTCACCGTCCCCGCGTCAGCCGGGAGTGGGGAAACCCTTAATGGAGTAGCACACTTCCTGTCCTAGGTCCGTTCTAAAAACACGTCCCCTCAGCCCGCGAAGTCCGTTCCGCCGCTTACAGTACTCGTTCCTTTCGTGCCCCGGGAAGGGTGACCTAGCACTTAATCCCTCCCAGTTGCCTGCGAGCACTGGACACACCTACAATGATCTAAATTCCGAAACTGGTTTTGCTTCAATGTTGATTCGTAACTCTGAGCAGATCCAGAATAATAAATGTATTGTTGCAAAAATAGTATATATGGCCCAACCTCCTCATTCAACAGCAAGGTGATTTGCTCAGTCAGGTTGTCCCTCTGATGCTAATACTTTCTTTACCAACATAGGAAGGTTGAAAACACAAAATAAGCCTTGGAGCTTTAAAATAGTAAAGTCTTGGGGGCCAGCGTGTGGCGGCAGTGTGTTAAGCCACTGCTTGTGATGCCAGCATCCCATGTGGACACTGGTTCTGATGCAGGCTGCTGCACCTCTGATCCACCTCCCTGTGGTGTGCCTGCGAAAGCAGCAGCAGAAGGCCCAAGTACCTGTGCTCCTGCCGCCCACATGGGAGACCTGGATGGAGTTCCAGGCTCCTGGCTTCAGTGTGGCCCAACCCTGGCCCTTATTACAACCACTTGGAAATTGAACCAATGGATAGAGGGCCTCTGCCTCCAGCAACTTGGGGCCTGCAGGGCAGTTTCTCTGTATTCTTCAAAAGAAGGGTCCACTTCCCTCCCCTTCAATTGCTAACTTTCAGGATTATTTTAAAATCACATTGAACCACTGAAGGCTGGACCAGAAGTGCCAAACATACTACCACCTTGCTAAAATCTAAAAATGCAACCTAAAATTTGTCATGTCCAATCCCGTACCCCCCAAACCCCCATCCCAACAGAAAGCCCCAGGGGCCTTGGACACCTGACCAAAATGAAGGGGCCTGCAAACACCTGGGCACCACGGACTATATTTGAGATTTTGTTCATTCCCATGGAAACTAGGAAAGTAGATGTTCCAAACAAGGAAAAAAAAAAAAAAAACCTTTCAACACTGGCCACAAAATAAGCTAGAGAATGGAGGATGCCTGGCCATTAAATGAGACCTCAAATTTAATATTATTCTCTAAATTAACCTCTTCTTCAAGAGACCACAGAAATAGTCAGAAGTTCTTTATAGCTAAGCCTGCATGGCACCCTTCCAAAACTCCACCCTCAGAGGAAGCTGTGGGCTTTGTTATTCCCATACCCTTTTAGAGACATGAAACTCAGAAGACCAGAACTATTTAGTGGTCCTCCACCACCAAGGGACCACCTCAACCACTTCAAACTCAGCTTTTCCCACTGCTGGACCCATCCCCAGGGAGAGATGAGTCCTTCCCTTCTCCTTTAATCCATGATTCTCTTCACCTCCTACTAGCTCAGTGCAAGCCTACCTGTCCCCCACTACTGAACGGTAGCTCAGAGGGAATCACTAGCAGTGGTGCCTCCTACCATCCAGATACAAATAGGCTTTGTTCCCTGAGCGCGGTGGCTAATGGACATGCTGGGATAATCATAGTACAGTTCCTTTTTTCCATGACTGACTTAAATCAAGGTAAACCAAAGCTTGGGAGATTTTCAAAAGACCCTGGCAAATTTACTGAGGAATTCCACACCCCGACTCTGGCTTCTAACTTGATCAAGGGTGACCTACACATTGTCTTGTACCCCTGAAGAAAAAGAGTGATTCTGGGCCCAAGACCAAGCCCTTGTGGACTGCTTGGCAGCTGAGCAGCCCAAACCAATGTGCTGTGGGAGTCACAGCAATTCCACAGAGACCCCAACAGGAACTATGCACAAAGTCATGAAGATTCAAAGTGTTGAGGTCATACATATGGTGTCCGGTCTAGTATCTGGAATAAAAAAAATGTATTTTAAACCTATAAGTTATGACAAAATCAGGGAGGTCATGCAATGTAGAGAAGAGAATCAAGCCTTATTCCAGCGACGGTGGGTAGAGGCCATAAAATGATGAATTAATGTAGACCCCAGCACCTCTGAAGGTCTTACTCAGGACCCATTTCATGAGTGAGTCCCAGGTATTCAGAAGAAATTGCATAAACTGGCATTGGGATCCCAAACGCCCGTGAACCAGAAGCTAGATATAGCATTTGGGATGCTATATATATAAATGGGATTGCCCCAAGCTCTGAATGGAGGACTCCCAGTTCCCTCATGTCCTCATTTGAAAACTGAAGGGCCTGGGAGTTCAGAAAGCTCCTGCAACCCACATGAACATCACACTCCCAGAGCCCTGGGTGACCCTGACGTCACAGGTAAGAACATCAATTTTCTAACTCATATATGAAGCAGCTACTCTGTTCTGAATTTCCATGTGTGACCCCATCATTAAAGAGTTGTCATCAAGGAAGTTGATGGCAAGCTCCTCTTCTGACAGTTCTCTTTGCCTAGTAGGTGCTCCTTGGCACCTCTCCTGCAGGTAAATGACAGGGCCTTTCTAGCTGGGTACATCTGTCAAAAATTAAACCACTACTCCGAGTCCTCATGGGCACACCCAGAGGATAACTTGGCCTACTCTTGTGAGCATCCCCAACTGACATGCATTTCCTGCTTCTTCTATCTTCTTGGGAAACTGCCATTGGCAGGAAAAACCTCTGGCAGATCTTTCTACCATAATGGCTACAGGAAAAAATCTTGCTAGATGCCCTGAAGTCAGTTTTAAAAGCATGTCTGTTGCCTCCGGCAACTTAGCCTAGGCCACTGGCCAGACCCTAGAGCAACTACAAGATTCTTTAGATTCCCTAACTAAAGTGGTCATGGACAACTGACTGGTCCTAGATTACCTACTGGCAACTTGTGCAATGATTAACAAACCTCTGCACTTACATTAACAACAGTAGGCTTGTTGAATAAGATATTTAAAGAATTTATGGTCAAGCCCAGTGGATCTATGGTTTTGGTAAGGGATGTCCCTTGTCCCTCGGCTTACAAAAATCTGTGGAGCAGCAAAAAGTGCTCTCTCTTCTCTTACATGGTTCTTACTCTTGCTCCTTTTTGCCCCCTATATGCCCATTATAATTGTTCAATTTGTCTCTTCCAGAATTCAACAGTTTCATGTAAAATGATAGTCATGCCTGATTCCAAGCATTAGTAATGCCTGATGGTGAACGTCTAGCTCATCCAGTGTAACCCCTAGGTCAGTTATCAAGGGATTTTCATTCCCTGGCTAGACAGAGATGATGCCCTGACGCAGCGTGAAGAAGTTATAGAAGATGGACTTTCCTCCCACAAAATCCCATGAAGGTTAAGGGACTGAAATCACCAAGGAGGGAAAAGATGTGCACAGTGAGGTAACTAGCAAGGTCACCAACCCCTCCCTACAGGACCACCTGATCTGCCCCAAACTGCCTCCCTTTCTGTGCACCATGAACCCACTGCTTAGAACCAGGGCCAACCAAAAATAACCGACATGGCTGCCAGCTGCACTCCTGTGGTGATCTGTAGCTAACGTATTATGATAAACCGCTACGTCCAGAGCAGGTGTTGTGGTGCTGCAGGTTAAGATGTCACTTCAGACTCCCACATCCCATACTGGGGTGCTGGTTCAAGTCCAAGATTCTCTGCTTCAAATCCAGCTTCCAGTTAGTTAATCATGGGAGGCAGTGAACGATGGCTCCAGTAGTTGGGCCCCTCCCACCCTCCTGGGAGGCTGGATGGAATCCCAGGCTCCTTGCTTTAGCCTGGCCCAGCTCATGCCATTGCAGTCATTTAGGAAGTAAACCAGTGGATGGGAGATCGATTCTCTCTCTCTCTCCCTCTCTCCTTCTCTCTCTCCCTCTCTCTCTCTCTCCCTTTCAAAAAATAAAATAATCTTCAAAAAATCAGATTGCTCTGGTACTTCTCTCAATTCCTATATTAAGCACAGACCTGTGCCTTTGCTGGCCTGTTTTCCACTTCCCTTGATCCGATTAATTTTTGTTCTTTCTTGAAGATTCAGCTCAGACATCATTTCCTACCAAAGGAAAACATCTCCAAACTCTCCAACTGGGGACGGATGCCTTACTGTGTACTCACCTACACCTTTATGCATGCCTGTACCTTAGCATTTCCTTTTTTGAAAAAATTATTTGCGAGGGAGAGAGAGATCTTTCATCCGCTAGTTCCCTCCTCCAAATGCCGGCAACAGCCAGGGCTGGCCCAGATCAAAGCCAGGCGCCCAGGACTCCATCCAGGTTTACTAAGTGGTAGCAGGGACCCAAGTACTTGGGCTGTCACCCACTACTTTCCCAGACACATTTGCAGGAAGATCGGAAGGGCAGCAGTGGGAACTCCAACTGGCACTGCAATAACAGGATGCCAGTGTCACAAGTGGCAGCTTAATGCGCTGCTCCACAACGCCTGCCAAACTAGGACTCACGGGCTCACTGTGCCAAGAGACTGCGCTAGAGCAATGGTGGGGCGCTGTCCCACCAAACAATGGACAAGATGGTTATTACAGGACCACAGGACGGGTGGTGGTGAGGTGAGATTTAAATCAAGTATGAGGCCGGCGCCGCGGCTCACTAGGCTAATCCTCTGCCTGCGGCGCTGGCACCCCTGGTTCTAGTCCCGGTTGGGGCTCCGGATTCTGTCCCAGTTGCTCCTCTTCCAGTCCAGCTCTCTGCTGTGGCCCAGGAGGGCAGTGGAGGATGGCCCAAGTGCTTGGGCCCTGCACCCGCATGGGAGACCAGGAGAAGCACCTGCTTCCTGGCTTCAGATCAGCGCAGCGCGCAAGCCGTAGCAGCCATTTGGGGGGTGAACCAACGGAAAAGGAAGACCTTTCTCTCTGTCTCTCTCTCTCTCACTAACTCTGCCTGTCAAAAAAGAAAAAAAAAAAATGAAGTGTGAGTTGCCAGGCTCAAAGGAACAGAGAGCTGTGTGAAGGGGGGAGGGAGGATTGTCCACATTAACTTTAGACAGCAAAGAATATCCAGGGGAGGGATCTGCTTCCTCAGAAAGGCCAAAGTTGGGGCCAGCACTGTGGCGCAGCAGGTTAATGCCCTGGCCTGAAGCGCCAGCATCCCATATAAGCACCGGTTCAAGACCAGCTGCTCCACTTCCAATCCAGCTCTCTGCTATGGCCTGGGAAAGCAGTAGAAGATGGCCCAAGTCCTTGGGCCCCTGCACCTGCGTGGGAGACGTGGAATGGCTCCTGGCTTCGGATAGGCACAGCTCCGGCCGTTGCAGCCAAGGAGTGAACCATCGGATGGAAGATCCCTCCCCCTCCCCCGCCTCTCCTTCTCTATGTAACTCTGCTTTTCTAATAAATAAATAAATATTTTTTTTTAAAAAGGCCAAAGTTGAGGTAAATGATTGTTGTGTTCAGAAAGCCCTGTGCTGAAGCGCTGTTTTTGGGCTGGCAGTCAAGGCTGCCTCTCCAGGTCCAAGGGACTTGGCTCCACCACAGGAACTCACCGACACACTGCAGACTTTAGCTCAAGAACAAAGTTTACAGGGAATTTAAAAACAGCTGTGACTCAGAGAGGAGCACTGTCAGACACTTGAAGTAGCAAGTGTGTGCTTGGGAGGAACGCTGCTTGCTGTTAGCTTTGTGGCTGGTTTTATCTGTGTTGATGACTGAATTTCAGGGCAATTTCTACTCTGAGTCTAAGTGAATATTTATTTTCTCAAGCTAAATTCACAGGTGATGGAATCATCTCCTCACGCCTGGCTGTCAAGATCATAGACTAACAATCAGCCTTGGAAACCACCGACCGGCTGAAAGCATCATTCTATTAGGTTTGAACACATGTTGGCCAGTACTAACAGCTCTCAGTGTATGAGACGACATTGGCCACTATTCCAGATACTTGGCCCATTTGTCAGTGTGGCAGAGACATTACTATTTATTCATTGCTGAATTCCCTCTTCCAGGCTACACAACAAGACTGCATCTCTCAACCTTTCTTTTTTAAAAGATTTATTTATTTATTTGAAAGTGAGTTACAACAACAGAGAAAGAGAGAGAGAGAGAGAGATAAACCTTCCATCCACTGATTCACTCCCCAAATGGCTGCAATGACCGGGGACGTGCCAGGCCAAAGCCAGGAGCTGAGAACTTCCTCAGGGTCTCTCACATGGGTGGCAGGGGTCCAAGGACTTGGTCCATCTTCCACTGCTTTTCCCAGGCCATTAGCAGGGACCTGAATCAGAAGTAGAGGAGCCGGGACTCCAGCCGGCACCTATATGAGATGCCGGTGCTGCAGACTGCGGCGTAAGGGCCGGCCCCTCTTGATCTTTCTTGCAGTTAGGCTGGAAGTATGTGATTGGCAGATGTGGACAGAAGTAAGCTGCCTCTAGGTCTATCCTAAAATGTATCTCCCCTTCTTCAAAGCAACTTGGAGGCCACATGTTCTAGATAGATGGTGGAGCTGTACGTTGGAAGAGGGCTGATTAACCCCCAAAGGACTTCCTGTAAGCACAAAATACTTTCGTCACGCTCACTTTGAGATTTGGAGGCTTTTTACTGTACCCTAAGCTAGCCTGTTGAGATAAATATTGTTAAGTATTACGCTTCCAGCTTATTCCTTACAAATCAGAGAACAATGCAGGCAACCCACACAGTGGTTACGTCACTACTTGAGATGCTCGCCTTCCACGCTGGAGTGCCTCGTGTGAGTCCAGGAGCAGCCTCTGATCCAGCTTCCTGCTAATGCACAGTGGGAGGCAGCAGCTGATGATGGCACAGAACTCAGGTCGCTGCCACTCACGTGGGAACCCAACATGAGTTTCAGGTTCCTGGTTTCAGCCTGACCCAGCACTCACTGTTGTGGGCCTTTAGGGAGTGAGCCAGTGGGTGGCACATTTGGGGAGCGAACCAGAAGTGAAGGTATGTCTCTCTTTACCTTCCAAAGAAATGAAATAAATTTTAAAAAGCAGAGAGTGGGGGTGTGGGCATTTTACCTGTTGGTCAAGACTCTTGCATCTGCCATTGAAGTGCCTGGGCTTGATTCCTGGGTCCAGCTAGAGAGACCCCGGCAGGCAGCAGTGTTGGCTCAACTGAGCCTCTGCCACCCAGATGGGAGACCAGGATTATTTTCTGGTCCTGGCTTTGGGCTGGCCAAGTCCCTCCCCAGTCATTGCTCTGTCTCTGAAATAAATTTATTTAGTAAAAAAAATTTATTCTGTTTATATGAAAGATAGAGTGAATGACAGGGAGAAATAGAGGAGAAATCCTTCATCTACTGGTTCACTCCCCAAATAGCCACAATGGTTGGGGCTGGGCCAGGCCAAAGCCAGGAGCCTGGGACTCCATCTGGATCTCCCAGCTGGGTGGCAGGGGACCAAGTACCTGGACCATCTGCTGCTGCTTTCCCAGGTGCATTAGCAGAGAGCTGGACTGGAAGTGGAGCAGCTGGGATGTGAACCAGCACTCTGATGTGGGATGCTGATGTTGCAGGTGGCAGCTTAACCCACTGTGCCACAATGCCAGCCTGCAAGTACATTTTTAAAAAACTTAAGCAGGAATCATTATTTCTCCTAGGGTACACACTGTCAGACCACACAAGCACGCTTCCACAGGGGCAGCAGGTGCTCACAGGGCTCCAACTCTCGAGCTCACACTGCCCTTCAGACCCACTGCCACCGTACCCCCAAGTCCCCTGACGCATGGCAGGCACTTACTGAAAACCAAGCGCCTTTCTCCTCTTCCCTTAAAATTACCAACATGAGCTTAGAATGAAGATAAGTGAGGGAGTATTTCACCCAGGACACACAGCATCTGAAGAGAAGTGGCGTGGGAGCCCCTGCCCCTCCTACTGTGTCGGTGCCCAAGTTTGAGAAACTGGCCAGGGCCTGGAAACTCCTGGTCAGCCACGAGCCTGGTGTCCAAACCTGAGATCTGGGAGTTATCATCTCTTTGCCCTCCTTCGTGGCCAATACGGCTGAACCCTGACTGCCCTATCTCTGGAGCCCTGTCCCCTCCGTCCCTGCTGCTCCTATTGCAGTTCCGGCTTTTATTTTCTCTCACCTTGGTGACCCGCCTCCCCATCTCCCCACCCTCCATCCTTCAGAGACATTCTCCATTGCCTAGCTTCCTAAAATGCAGGACGCCCCTGTATGTATGTAAACCTTCCACTCTCAGCAATGTTAAGGCCTAAATGCAAACCACGAGACTTGCTAATCTGCTCCTGCCTATCTCTCCAGCCACATTTCCCACCACTCCCCACACAAAAACCCACATTAACCTGTAGCTCTCTGAATAGGACCAGATTCTTTCTTGACCCTCTAGATCTGCCCATGGATGTTCTCTCTGCCTTAAAGGACTTCCCTATTCCCAGAGAACTCCTGCACAGCCTTCAACAGCCAGGTCAGACATCTTTCATCTTGTGAAGTTCTACCTGACCCCCTCAGAGGCAAAGGGGTGATCATCTCAAAGGCCACCAGTGTGCCTGCACACAGCCCCATCCCCACACAACACTGCACGTACTTATGTGATGTCTCCTCTGTTAGATTTACATCAGTCTGAGGAAGAGTCACGGTTCCGGCAGAGAGCAGGTGTTCCATGTTTTGTTAACTAAGCAACAGTGACCAAACAGGTGATAAAAGGTGATGAGCCCAGGACAGGCATTTGGCAAAACAGTTGAGATACCTCTTGGGATGTTGGTATCCCATATTGGAGTGCCCGGGTTCAAGTCTCAACTCTGCTCTCGATTCCAGCTTTCTGCTAATGAGCACTCTAGTTGGTAGCAGATGATCGTTCAAGTACTTGGGCCCCTGTCACCCACATGGGAGACCCAGATTGAGTTCCTGGCACCTGGTTTTGGCCTGGCCCAGTCTTGGCTGTTGTGGGCATTTGGGGAGTGATCCAGTAGCTGGATAATCTCTGTCCACCTCTCTGTCTACCCTTCAAACAAATAAAATACAAACTTTGAAGATGATGAGTCAGGCAGTCAGGTAAGTGTGGAGTCTACTCTCCCAGCCATTGTCTCTGGAACATGACCAAGGTGGCAAGTGGGAACAAATGAATTCATCACAAGAAGTTCAATCTATACATGTTCAAGTTTTATTACAAAGTATGATGGGCAGAAAATACGGTACTTCTTAAACAGGAGGCTGAAACAGAATGAAAGGTTAAAGTTAGGTCTACTGTACTTAGGAAACAAGAAATAAAGTCATAGAAACTGTAACACTCCACGTTCAGGTGCCTTTGAAGCAGCTTTCAATGGAGATTTCCATCGTGGTTTCACAGCACAGTGTTAAAATGTATTACAAGCCCTGTGTACAGTCCTGAAGTAATGTTTATAAAAGGAAAATGACTACAGTTCAATTCTGCAAAGAGACACTTCCTCTCCACCTGACCACGGGATGCCACAAAGCCTATAGCATAGAGGGAAAGTTTCAATATACCACAAGAAAGTTCATCCAGACACACTAGGCTAAAGGGCACAGAAATGAACTGGTTAGAGGTTAACATTTCAGAGAACAGGAAATCTCCATTTTCTACATAGAGCTTTAGACAATCATGCTACAAATTCAGAGCGGGAGGAGGAAGTCACTGACAGAGGGGTCATAAAATGCACAGCAATCAAAGCGGATGATTCACACTCGCTAAGCGAGTCACAGCCTCAGCTCAACAATCCCCATAACACACTGTGTGCCACAATCAACCCAAGGTGAGGACATTCATTTTAAATCACAGATATCCCAAGTTCATGTTCACCGGGTTGTCCCAAAGGACGGGGAGGTGCTTGTAAGTTCTCCAGCTCTTACACAGACTGTCAACACCTTTCTTCGTGAGTTCAAACTCTCTTTCACTTACTTGTTTCTGGTCTAATCTATTAGTCCAAGCCTTTTTGGGAAGGCATCTTTGTGTTTCCATATTTTAAAAACAACATCCAGAAAGTACCTGGAGAGGATCTAGTCCATATCTGACTTTGACCATCAGCAGCAATGACAACTGTGTGAGGAGGAGCGGGGCAGGCAAGGCTCTGCAACATGAGAACCTCAGCCGCCCGGCGGGGGCAGAGAGGACCACCGTCAGAGAGCCTGGGCCAGGGTTCGCTGGGCTTTTGCTCAGCTCAGCTCTCTTCCTGCCCAGCCTAAGTGCCAAGCATGACCCTCTTTCCTCGTCCTGGACTGCAGACAGCAAGGAGAGAAGTGAATTTTCAGGCTTCTTCTACTTCAGTGGCCTGTCCTACCTAAGAGAGCTGAAGGAGGCACAGTCCCGTGCTGCCCTCCTATGCCTGGTAAACCCGCGCTCCTGCACGTCCTTGCTGTCCAGGAACTCAGGGCCAGGCCTGCAACAAGAAAGGGCTATGGTGGAGAGGAGAGAGAAGAGGGAGAAAGCCTGCATGCCTGTTTACAACTTCTGCTTCTTGCTGCTCTAAACAGCAACCAAGAGTCACAGTCCAGAACAGTCACAGGGCTTCCACGGCGCACAGACTGGGACCACCAAACATCACCTCTGGGTGCTCTGCTGCTGAGAGGAGCCCTCTGACCCGCTCGGTCATCCTGTCAGCGCAGTTCACCAGCATCAGATGCCTGATTTACGGCCCAGGAAGGCCGACTCGGGCGAGGGCGTGGTCTCATTCCACACCCAGCTCAGACCCTCACTGCCCTTGCAAGTTGCCTGTCTGATCACACACACACCATCGACTTTCTCCAGGGTCTTAAATCTTCTAAAACTTCAGCCACAATGATCACCAAAATCTTGCCGGATTTCATTTTTTTTTCTTTCCTGTTTCTTCCTGGATCTTAGCCAATTCTCTGAGAGCTGATTCTGGGTCTGCAAAGAAAATTCTCACCGAGTTACCACGTGCCTCTGCTCTTCAAGTCCTCACCTTGCAGGCTGGTTCTTCCCTGGGGAGGGTTCTGACTCCCCTGGGTATAAACATGCAAGTCCTGGCCGGGCGTGGACCCACTCCCCAGCCCTCTGGTGGCAGAGACCTGAGGCCTGCTCTTTCCAGCAGCTTCCCCTTCCTCAGAGCAGGTGGGAGGGCACAGGTAGCTGCGGAGAGCTAGACACAGGGCCACGGCGAGCTGCGCCGGCGCTCGGAGCTGCCTGCTTCCTGGTGAGGCCCCGGGGCTGCTTGTCCACGAGGCCAGCTGCCTGTCAATCTGAGGAGCTGAACAAATGAAGCGGAGCCTTGCTTCCGAAACCCCCACAGATCTGTGCTTCCCAGAGGACCCAGAGGCTTTCCAGATCCCGAGACGGCAGAAATCCCCTCCTCAGCCGTGAGGCCGCCTGGCCTGTGGCATAAAGGGAGGACGAGAGAGCTGGGGCTTCAAGTCGCAGCAGCTGTGAGCACGTGTGGGCTTGCCTGAGTCCTGAGGAGGACGCAGACGGGACACACTGCAGGGCCTGGGGGAGGATGACGGGGCTGGGAGCCCACAGGGCAAGGGGGGAAACCGTCTGGGGCCCTTGGCTTCCAGAGTAATTAGCTATCTTATCCGATTCTTATCACTACTACTGTTAACACTTTTTCAAGTTGTTGTTTTTGAGCTTCGGCTGACAAATCTTCTCACCATTCAGACCAGGTCCAAGTGCAAGAATCCTGACTCAGAGCTCAGCAGAGACAAGCGTGGTCCCAGCAGGACCGTGACCCCCTCTGGTAACCCCTCTCCACAGGCAGGAGCGGATGGGCTCCCAACACAGCAGTCATCAGCTCACTTGCTCCTACGGAGGGAAGGACCCCAGAGCCATTACCAAACGCTGTCAGCAGAGGAGCGTTCCAATCAAGAACCGCTGGCCTGCCCGCCCCCACCTCCCGGCCACGACGCCGTGTGATCTAGTGCTAAAGGCAGGAGTGAGCCTCATGCAGACGCCAGCAAAAAGCCCTCAAATCTGAACAAAGTATAAAGGCAGAAGAGCACAGGGCCTGACTACAATGAAGAGCCTTTTCTTCTGGGACAAGCCCCTGTGCAGCAAGCAGAGCTGTGACCTTTGGCATACAAATACATCCGCTTTGGAAAAGAAAGACTCAACCAAAAGGAGTTAAGGGCTCGAAGAACAAAATTAATTCTTTCATTTCTCAAGCAGGCAAGAGCCCAGGTGGACAAAACCACTGGTCTAAGGCCTGCTGGTCTCTTAATTTCAATGTGCAATTCAGAGGGTCTTGCAAACCTTCAGGCACTTGGCAGAGCACCAGGAACCAGGTGAACTCTGCCCCGGAGCATGTCCCACACTCTGACTGCCCAAGGACTCATCTAACAGCACGCACGGCCCCTCCACGGAACTCGCTCATGGAACGGAAACAGACACTTGCAGCTTCTCAGTCAACACAGCCACAGCCCACAAGTCCAGTTCTGCTCGGAACCTGCATCTGGGGCGGGGGGTGCAGGTGGGGGTGGGGGCTTCACTGGCTGACCCTAGGGCCTCTGAGTCTGCAGCTAGTTGCTTAATGACCTGGGATCATCACCACCACTGGGTTCATCCCCTAGGACAGCTGCCAGTCTCCTCCACTGAAGACCTTCCTCAGGGTTGCCACAGGGCACTCAAGCCCACGAGGAACCAGCAGGCCATCAGGCGCAGTGCACTCGCCACACAGAAACACCAAAGTCCAGCTTCCTGATCATTCCTGCCCACAGGTCAAGACACGAAACGCAACAGCCTAGTGTTTACACTTGGTGGGAAACAGACTCTGCAACCATGCACTGGAAAGAAACAGTAAATCCAGCTTTCCTGAGACTGTTCCTCTCAATTCTGGTACCCAGTTAGCCTGGCGGCCTGAGCGCTAGCTCATTCCCGACAGGGATGGGGACTGGGGTCGGGGGACCCAGCAGTGCTTCAGAGAGTGATGGGAGGCTTCCCGTGTCTGTTTCGGAGCCCAGAATGGCCCTGAGAAGAGCCAGGCTGAGGCAAGGTGTGAGGAGTGGGCAGACTGCAGAGCACCAAGGTGGCTTGGGACCCCCGGTCAGGGAGGTGCCACACAGGCAGTGACTCAAGAAGGCAAACTGCTCATGGGGTCAGGGCCCAGCCCCAGCTCCAGACCCTGAGGGAAGAGAGGAAGGTGCAGAGGTGGAGGACTGGGAAACACAGGAAGAAACCAGAGGAGTAAAATTCTGTCCATAAAAAAATTAGCCTGGTAGGTAAAAAATATACAAAGTTGAAATTTGTGAAAGACACTGATTCTAGGAGGAAAGACAACTTTAAATTGGTATTTGATCCCGTGTAAGTGCTGGCGTGGACATGGACAAGACACACACTGCTGCCTTGGGCAGCAAACAGACAGACATCTGGGCCAGATGAATAAAACACAGCCAGTGCTTGTACTGCTCATTAACACGACAGCTGACAAACAAATATACAGAAACTTTTAATCAAGGAAGGAAGAGAGAAACTCTTAAAACTCAGCCCTGGGCCGAGGAGGCGCCACACAGCACTGAGTCCAGCACGGAGAGCGACAGGGTGACTGGCCAGGAACTCCTAGAGTAGCTTCTGGTAACAGTGGGTGCAAAGCAACAAAAGACATACTGGCCACCGGAACAGGTTTCTTCTTACTCTGGGGGTGGGGCAGAGGCGGGAACACGAGCCCCTGCCCCGAGGGTGCACCACCAACACTACACTCTGAGTATCTCGAGGCAGTTGTTGTAGCAGATGGCGATCCAGTCGGGCTGGGTCGACGCCCACTGCACATTGTTGATCTCTCCTTCGGCTGTGTAGGCCAGGATAGGGTCCTCAATGGCCCGGGGCATTTGCTGGATGTCCCAGATGAGAGCCTGATGGTCATCCGCTAAGGACAAACAAAGCCAGCACGCAAGGTCACAGCACGACTCAGGAAATGGGAACAAAGATCCCTACATGCGGGGAGCAGGTCACAGTTTAGAAAGCATTTGCTGACCAAACTTCTGTGGGGCTTTTATGTTAAACCCCCATTTTATAGATGAGGAAACTGAGATTCAGAAATGCTAAGGCACTCACCCCAAGTCACACGGTTAGACAGCCTGCGAGTGGTAGAGCCAGGATGCACATCTGGGCCTCAAACATGTCCCAGATGTTCCAGGCTCTATCTACTGCCCCGGTTTTCAGCAGAATGGGACTTACACGGGCTCCTCTCATTTGGGTCGGGCTTCAGGAGAAAATTAATGGTTAAAGATCCCTCTCTGATGAGCCCATTTAATGTGAGTCTCCCCCCAGCCCCTCCAACCCATTTCATGGACACTTATACTTCAGTGAAGTGTTGTTATACAGATGATTGTGTGGACATGTGCTATTAAATTTGTTTTCCCAAGAAAAGAGCTATAGGAATCACCAGAAAGAAGGTAATCATCTTAAAAATATACATGAGCACATGAAAAACAGTTAGATGGAAATATATCAAAATGAGAATGGCAAAAATATTAGAATGGCAAGGTTGTAAGTTATGTTTGTATTTCAGTAGTTCCTACCTAAGTGGTCCATAATGTGGTCATATTACTTTTATAATCAAAATAAAAGTTCTCAATTTAATGAAAGGGGAAAAAAAAAGAAGCAGTGATCTTCAGAGCCATAGTATCCCCCAAATTACCACTCATTCTCATCTCAAAGCCAGTCTGGTGTGCATGGGGAATCCAAACAAACTAAACTCCAACAAGCCAGGCTAACTGTGGCAAACTGGCCTTTGAAGGCCACACAACTTGGGCAAGGTACAAGGTGCCCTTCTCAGGGATAATTTACTTTAAAAGACTGGGAATTGCTTTCAGTCTAAAGCCCTGAGTCCCTCTTCTTTAAGTGCCAATCCAGCTCCCTTCAGCAACAGCTCCTGTGTTGCAACACACAAAAGTGAGCCATGCAGAGGGGCACGAGATGTGGCTTCTGCTTGGCCAGTTCTGCTCTCCACGAACAGCAGATGACACCGTTCCTTTTTCCCTTCTCCCATCCCATCCTAGCCACCAAAAGCAGGCAATAATGAAGCAGGCAGACCACAATTTGAGGACCAGAAGGCAGCACGGGCCCCAGCTGCTCCTCAACGGGACATGCAGGCATGGGCAAGGGCCAAAACCAGGAAAAGCTCCTGCCTTCTAAACTGATGCTAACATGGCACAAAGTCACCAACACTACGTTACTTCTGTGGCTCTGCAGCGAGCCAGGTTCATTATAAGGCTACTGATTAGCGAGGAGAAGAAAGGTATGTTAGGAGGCAGCTAGATGCACTGAAAAAGAGGAGGAGCAGAACCCTCTGTGGCTCACACGGAATCCTGTAAACCAGAGGGATCCACGCTCGTATTTGGGGGTACACAAAGGGTCTGGAAGGAGACACTACAGCTTGCTCCAGAGGCCACCTTCCTACCAAATCTCCCTCTGCTTGGTTTTCACTTTTAACAACATGATCACTAGAATAAAAGCATGCTGATGACCAGCTGTTTTTAAACACCTCTCTCTCTCTCTCTCTTTTTTTTTTTTAATAAAGATCTATTTATTTATTTGAAAGTCACAGTTACACAGAGAGAAGAAGCAGAGAGAGAGAGAGAGAGAGAGAGGTCTTCCATTTACTGGTTCACTCCCCAGTTGGTTGCGATAGCCAGAGGTGTGCCCATCCGAAGCCGGGAGCCAAGAGCTTCCTCTGGGTCTCCCACGTGGGTGCAGGGGCCCAAGAACTCGAGCCATCTTCCACCACTTTCCCAGGCCATAGCAGAGAGCTGGATTGGAAGTGGAACAGCTGGGTCCTGAACCAGCACCCACATGGGATGCTGGCACTACAGGCAGCGGCTTAACCTGCTATGCCACAGCGTTGGCCCCTCCACACCTCTCAATAGCCAAGGTCATGTGGGGCCCTTTAGTGTCTGCAGAGTTCACAGTGAGCTCTTTATAGTGTGGCCTCAGAGGTCCCAGGGAGACGCCCAGGTTGGCTGTCCCAGAGATCCTGTGGCATCCAAGAGGGACGCCTTCTCTGTCTCACATTCTTGGATCTGAGTCCCTTGCACCAACCTAGAATTCTGGTGTGTGTGTGGGTGCATATAACACACAGGCCAATCCCCGACACGTGATATAAGTTGTATGTACAAGATGCTCCAACAGGGACTGGCATTGTGGCACACCGGGCTAAGCCTTCGCCTGTGGCGCTGGCATCCCATATGGGTGCCGGTTCTAGTTCCAGCTGCTCCTCTTCCAATCCAGCTCCCTGCTAATGGCCTGGAAAAGCAGTAGAAGATGGCCCAAGTGCTTGGGTCCCTGCACCCACGAGGAAGACCTGGAAGAAGCTCCTGGCTCTTGGCTTTGGATTAGCTCAGCTCTGGCCATTGAGACCTTTTGGGGAGTGAACCAGCAGATAGAAGACTTTTTCTCTGACTTCCCCTCTCTGCCTGTAACTCTACCTCACAAGTAAATAAATAAAATCATAAAACAAAACAAAACAAAAAAAGATGCTCTGACAGCACTGAGGGTATGGGATCACCTGCGAATGTGAACTATTTTATTTTCACAAGTGTGGGGAGGCTCTGAATTGAACTATGTCATGTGGAAGTCTCCAACTGTCCTTGGAAAACAGCAAGGTCTGTTAACTCTAAGGAGCCAAGAGTGGCAGATTTCCTTATTACCCGTCCCCCCACCATGGTTACCTGCAGTACAGATGTGGCAGGAAGAATGCGGGGCCCAGGCAATGCCATTGACACAGGCTCGGTGGTTGTTTAACCTGGCAACAGGTGTGCAGGGAACTCGGACGTCCAGAATCACCACCTGCAGAAACACAAGTATAAGGCCCAGGAACTTGGGGTGTAACAGAAGAAACACGAGAACCAAAGACACTACACAAGGGAAAATCCTTTTTAAGTATCACTTTTTCATTTGTGGACTTAAAGAATATTAGAGATGCAGGTTTTCCTAAGGATTGAGGAAAAAAGAAAACACAGAACACAGGTAGTGAGGGATAGGAAAGGGGGATGGAAAAGGTAACACATATTTAGACAATCCACCAATTCCTGGCAGGTGCCTGAGAGAAGAATTCTGTGCATCTCAGCTGGACAGAATGAGAGCCCTGGCAAGGCAGAATCTGGAACCAATGAAGAAGTCTAAGGAACTGGCTTCATCAAACCAACGCTAACCACGTCCCCGCCACCCACCTTTATTGAGTAACAGGCTACAGAGAGAGCTGCCATTCCCAGATTCCTAGATGTGTTTGCTAAAGCTGGACAACTCTGCCCAGACCACCCAAGGGGATTTTTTTTCCCATCAGCACCAAAAGCACAAATGATTTAGTTTACTTTTTTTTTTTCTTTTCATCTATTGGACAGCAGAGTGGACAGTGAGAGAAAGAGACAGAGAGAAAGGTCTTCCTTTGCCGTTGGTTCACCCTCCAACGGCCGGTGCACCGCACCTATCCAAAGGCAGGAGCCAGGTGCTTCTCCTGGTCTCCCATGGGGTGCAGGGCCCAAGCACTTGGGCCATCCTCCACTGCACTCCCTGGCCACAACAGAGCTGGCCTGGAAGAGGGGCAACGAGGACAGAATCCGGTGCCCCAACCGGGACTAGAAGCCGGTATGCCGGCGCCACAAGGCGGAGGATTAGCCTACTGAGCCGCGGCGCTGGCCCATTTAGTTTACTCTTAAGTACTATTTTTCTTGGCACCAACTCTCCAAGTATGAAAAGTTGTTGGGGCCAGCGTTGTGGCATAGTGGGAAAAGCCACCACCTGCAGCACCGGCATTCCATACGGGTGCAGGTTCAAGTCCCGGCTGCTCCACTCCTTTTTTTTTTTCTTCTTCTTCTTTTCTTTCTTTCTTTTTCTTTTCTTAATATTTTGTGTATTTATATGAAAGACAGAGTTACAGTCAGAGACAGGGAAAGACAGAAAGGTCCTCCATCTGTTGGTTCATTCCCCAAATGGCTGCAGTGGCCAGAACTGGGGCAATCTGAAGCCAGGAGCCAGGAGCTTCTTCCTGGTCTCCCATGTGGGTGCAGGTGCCCATGGACTTGGGCCAACTTCTACTGCTTTCCCAGGCCATAGCAAGAGAGCCGATCAGAAGAACAGCTGGGACACAAACTGGCACCCACATGGGATGCTGGTGCAGCAGGCAGAGGCTTAGCCTATTGCACCACAGTACCAGCTCCCTGCTGATGTCCTGGGAAAGCAGCAGAGGATGGCCTCAGTTTTGGGCCCATGTACCCATGTGGGAGATCCAGATGAAGCTCTCGGCTCCAGGCTTTGGACTGTTCCAGCCCCGCCCATTATGGCCATCTGGGGAGTGAACTGATGGATGGAAGATCTCTCTCGCTGTCTCTCCCTCCTCTTCCCCACTCTGCAACTCTAACTTTCAAATAAATAAATAAATCTTAAAAAAAAAAAGAAAAAAAAAAGAAAAAGTTCTTAGCCACAGTCCTTGTCCTAGATCAGGCTTTCTCAGCCTTGGCATTATGGACATTTCAGGGGGATAATACTTTGCCGGGAAGCTGTCCTGTGCACTGTAGAAAGCGTAGCTAGCAGCCTCCCAGATCCATCTGACCCTGGACATTTCCAAAGATCCCCTGGGGGCAAGGCTGCCACAAGTAGAGAACCAATCTAAGCACTCATCAGCGCTGGAGTTCAGTGGCAGGGCCTGTGTTAGACTGGGCGGGTGCTCACCTCCATTCCATCCATGGCCATGGTGGCCAGGTAGTTAGGGTCCTGCTTGTTCCAGCAGAGGCGCAGCAATGGGTGATGCTGTGGGTCTTCATAAATGATGGTGCTGTGTTCCAGATGACGGAGGTCAAACATTCGCACGGAGCCATCAGCACCCACAGACGCAAACATGTCTCTGCCACCCCCAGCCCGGCTAAACGCGATGTCATAGACCTATTGTGGAAAAGGAAGCTTCAGTCAGATGCAGAACTGTTACCTCCTTTTCCTATAGCAGGGAAATCTAATTCATCTAAACCTGGTCCGGAGACCAAGAGGTGAAACAACTTTGAGTTATGGGGAGGTTCAGGAACCCCTACATTCACAAATGGGCGTAGGATCACTGTCATCCTTCCATACATTCTGCTTCTTCCCTAGGACGATTTATTCTTGTATGTGAATCTATTCAGGTTTGAATAATTGTGTTCCGCATTTATCATTTGCTACAAACACTGCTTATCACACATGTCTCTGAAGAAACAGAGGCAGAGAGAATGGAGAGCTTCAGAGAAACAGAGGGACTGAGACAGAGAGGCCAGAGGCACACATGTGAAAAGAGACAAAGAAAATCACAAATGTCAGACAAAACCCATCTTCTGGGGTCGAGGATAATAATGACAGCTGACTTCTGGGGATACCTGAGTGGAATCCGTCACTACACGCTGCAGCTCCAGGATCCTGGAGGTCCTGCCAGCTGAGGGCCACAGCCACAGCCTGGAATGCCCTTTTCTCCGGCTAACTACAGAGAGCGTGCCCCTCTTTCATGGCAGGAGTGAGGAATGGCTCAAAAGGGACCTGGGCAGTCACCACAAGGAGACATGCAGCGTGGCACCAACACCTCAAGGGCCCGTCCAGCGCTGTGCAGCTACAGGGCATGTCCTGCTCACCGTGCCAGCTCTCTGCACCCTCAGGGACAGAGATGCCACAGGTGCCCCCGAGCAGTGTGGACAAGGTGTAAAGTGCCTCAGCCTTGAGTGGCTGCCCCTTCATCTGCGTCCCACTAGTGTGGCTCATCAGAAACAGAGGGAAGGTGACAAGTGCCAGCTACAATAATCCTCCCTCTTCTCTCATCTGCCACCAGAGCCTCCCTTACTTCAACAGACAGATGTGGGCTGGTTTCTTGGGCTTATGCCTTTAAGGTTAGGGCTTCAGTCCAGGGTTTGTCTGCTGTTACGATCTGCCCCCGGCCCTCCATCCTGCTCTTCTCTGTATCTTAAGAGAACTGATTCCTACAGGCTGCATTTGGCTTTTTATTTGTCTGCCAGCTGTTTTTCAGCCTGGGAAGCTGGAGGGGGAGGGGCAGGGAGAAGTTGCGGTATTTTTCCTCCCCTGTTTCCTGAAGCATTTCCGCCAGGTAAATCGAACCCCAGGCTCCAGTACCCCGCTTCCTGCTCTGGCCCCTCTGGCTCAGGGGCAGCAGCAACTCCCCATGCTCCCAGCCTCCAGAACGCCTCACGGCTGCCTACGTGGCTTCTCAGCTTTACCAAGCAGCATCTGAATAAGCAAACCCCCACTGCTGAAAAGTTCCCCTTTTTTGGGTTGGACCTAAAAGAACAGCAGGCTAAGTTGTCACACACGCAGGATGTATTAACTTGTTCCACTTGATGCCAACAGTTTCCAGAAGTTCCTTTCTTGTCCTCTCTGCAGGATCAACTCTTTATCTGACCCTTGGTCAGCAGCAGTCAAATCTTGTAACAGATCTTACCCTCAGGAGCACAAAAAGCCAAAGAACCGGCCCGACTAATTATGAAGGATAACCTCGCCATTCTGTTGACAGCCTTAAGGTTCTAAGCTGAGGTGAAGGCATTCATTCTCTTTTATCTGTGTGCATATTAATACCTCCAGCTGTGAGAGTAAAGTAGAAAAGGAAACACTACCCACAGGAAGTCAGTGCCGGGGCATGGAATGGCTCTAGGAGGAACACTGATGACCATTTTCCAAAAATCACCTGGAAGAATGCCTTGATTAAAACACAAAGAGCTTCCCTCAGCATTTCCAAGATACAGAAGACACATCATCATTAAAGAGAAATATGTTCAATTCCAAATAGCATCAAAGTACAAAGATTAAGTGAACACATTAGAATTTCAGAATACAATGTCGGAGAAAACCTGATAATTAGGTTTGACCATCAGGAAATTCTCCGTCTTCTTGTCTTCCTCATCTCCCAAACAACTAATGTCTCCAAACAGTTGCTACTCTGTGACTATTTTTTAATCATATCAGTTCTCAGCTTGTCTATATGTAGCTGACACTAAAAAAAGCAACCTCTGGCCGGCGCCGCGGCTCACTAGGCTAATCCTCCGCCTAGCGGCGCCGGCACACCGGGTTCTAGTCCCGGTTGGGGCGCCGGATTCTGTCCCGGTTGCCCCTCTTCCGGGCCAGCTCTCTGCTGTGGCCAGGGAGTGCAGTGGAGGATGGCCCAGGTGCTTGGGCCCTGCACCCCATGGGAGACCAGGAAAAGCACCTGGCTCCTGGCTCCTGCCATCGGATCAGCGCGGTGCGCCGGCCATTGGAGGGTGAACCAATGGCAAAGGAAGACCTTTCTCTCTGTCTCTCTCTCTCACTGTCCACTCTGCCTGTCAAAAAAAAAAAAAAAAAAAAGCAACCTCTGTCATGAAAAGAAAAACCAGACCATAAAATAAGTCATCTATATACAAAAAATCATTAATTACAACAACGTTGTTTTGACACATTCCTGTGTTGCTGTGCTGTGATGATTTTCTACTTTGCAAAACAGAGAGCGCCCTCGCCTCTCACAGAAAGCACCGCATCTTACCTCTTTGTCATGGGCGATCAGCTGGGTCTTCACGTGGCCAGACACAAGATTCACTCGTCCCAGCACCTGCCCTGTCTCCAGCCCCCAGATGGTGCAAGTCGTGTCAATGCTTGAGGTCCCTGCAAATGACCAACGCCAGTCAGTGCCGCTGGGAAAGAGGTTCCCAGCGAACTTCCTCCTGGGCCTGCTCATCTGCTCGGCACAGGGAGGGAGCCAGCCCTCATTTCAGAGTCTTAGATTTTAACTGGAGAGGTAAGAGATACACAACGAAAAGCTCGACTGCATGTGAGGAATTAATAGCTACCTGCCATAGCTGCCTGTTTCCCATCAGGCCTTGCTCTAGGCTGATGCATGCAGCTCAGTGTCACAGCTAAGCAAATGCACCTTTGCTTCTTCAAGCATTGTGTAACCCCCTTACCTAAAAGATAGGGATCCACCTCATTCCAGTCAAAGGAAGTCAGGGGAGCACAGAAATCAGAGTTCTTGTTGTTGTTCAGCAAACATTCCAGCCTGGTCTCTGTTTCACCAACCTAAAGGAGCAGTCATTTTTGAAGATCAGTGTCTTATCATCATGAGCAAGCTTAAAAGCCCCCTGCTTAGACAGTTTCTTAGTAAATACAGGTTTTGAGGGAAAACATTTTTATCACAAAGAAAGATAAACCCGGAGGGACTGGGTTCCTCTCCTGCTCTTCTCCTCTGCCCAGCTCCACATTCTGAATTTCCACCCCTGCACCTTTCTAGAGAAGAGGTCGTCTCTCCTTGCCTAGCTGGTCTCTGCGCCCCCCGCTGGCAAGGGTGCCGCTGACTACCAGCTCAGCTGAGAGGCGAGGCGAGATCCACTCACACACTTTATCAGAATCAATGGTCTGGTATTTTGTCTAATTTACTCAAAAACAGCTTGGCTGTAAACGGCATAAGAGATCTCAAGTATCCCCAAACGCACTGAAAGTTACCACTGTTGTCAGGTTAACTGAGCCCCAGATTTCTAGGGCTGACTGCAACCAGCAACAAGACGTCATGGGGTTTTAGATTTGCTAGAAAACCTGCCGAGCCCAGCATCAGTTGTGATAAGCTTCCCTTGTTCTTCCATGCTGCGGTGAGTTGCTACCTGCAGCCCGTCTGTTCTCTGGGACTCTACACTTTGACAGCTGACACTGTGAGAGCCATTTGTCTGGCAGCTTACCCTCCATACACGGAGATAGTCGCCGCTGGTCGCCAGCAGATCTGGGTAGACGCCTTTTGTGTCAGGGATCCACATGAGCTTTGTGGTTGGGTATGGGTGGTCAAAGGTATTTCGGCAGATGAACTCTGAACTCTCCTCATCTAAACCAACAAGCTGAACCTGTAATACATCAACATTGGACCACATAAACATCTGTGTTCCTGAGCAGTATGAAATACAAGAGATCCCTGATCGGTGCAGTCTCAAGACCACACTATACTTAACTGCAGAGATAAAACCATTACTGTGAGAAGGCTCCGAGTCCATTCATTCCACCTCTACCCAGATTTGCCTTCCTAAGGCCCATTTATGAACACAAAAACTTAAAACACATAGGCCGGGGCTGGCACTCTGGTGCAGTAGATCAATCCTCTGCCTGTGGCACTGACATTTCAAAGGGTGCCAGTTCTAGTCCTGGCTGCTACTCTTCTGATCTATCTCTCTGCTATGGCTTGGGAAACCAGTGGAAGATGGCCCAAGCGCTTGGGCCCCTGCATCTGCGTGGGAGACCTGGAAGAGGCTCCTGGCTCCTGTCTTCAGATCAGCCCAGCTCCAACCGTTTTGGCCATCTAGGAAGCAAACCAGTGGATGGAAGACCTTTCTCTCTATCTCTCCCTCTCAATGTCGGTAACTCTACCTTTCAAATAGATAAATAAATTAAAAAATCTTGGAAAAAAAAAAAAAAGGGTCACCCAAGTGCCCAGTTTATCCCTGTGGATTATCTTTTTTTTTTTTTTTAAAGATTTATTTATTTGAAAAGCAGAGTTACAGAGAGGCAGAGGCAAAAAGAGAGGTCTTCCATCTGCTAGTTCACTCCCCAGATGGCTGAAACAGCCAGAGCTGTGCTGATCTGAAGTCAGGAGTCAATAGCTTCTTCCGGGTCTCCCACGTAGGTGCAGGGTCCCAAGGACTTGAGCCATCTTCTACTGCTTTCCCAGGCCATAGCAGAGAGCTGGATCATAAGATGGGTAGCCAGGACTCAAACCAGTGCCCATAAGGGATGCCAGCACTGCAGGCGGCAGCTTTACCTACTACCCACAGTGATGGCCCTCTTTGTGATAATCTTATTTGCTGAAGTCATCATGGCTCTTTTAAGATTACTTTAGTCCCTCAGTTGGAACAGAGAGACAGAAGCAAAGACAGAATGATAAAAAAAAAAAAAAAATACATGGCTACTGCTGGAGAGAACAGGTATTGTGCCTATTCAACTAGGACTGACACAAATATCTGCTGGATTAAAAAATGCACTAACACGGGGTCAGTGTTGTGGCTCAGAAGGGTAAGCTGGCATCCCATATGAGCAATGGTTCAAGTTTCAGCTGCTCCACTTCTGACCCAGCTTCCTGATGATATACCCGGGAAGGCAGTGGAAGATGGCCCAAATGCTTGGGCCCCTGCTACCCACATAGAACCAGATGGAGTTCCAGGTTCTTTGCTCCAGCCTAGCCCAGCCCTGACCATTGCACCAGCAGATGGAAGATCTCTCTCAACCTCTGTCTCACCTTCTCTGTAGCTCTGCCTTTCAAATAAATAAATAAATCTTAGTACAAAATCAAACAGAATCGGCACAAGCGACAGTCTGCCTAATCCCAGCCTTGTAAATTTCTTTGTCTCTCAGTGCAGACTACAAAGCGTTATGCTTTTGTTTTTCTTTTCATGACAGAGGTTTTTTTTGACAGGCAGAGCGGACAGTGAGAGAGAGAAACAGGGAGAAAGGTCTTCCTTTGCCGTTGGTTCACCCTCCAATGGCTGCCGCAGTCGGCGCGCTGCGGCCAGCGCACCGTGCTGATCCGATGGCAGGAGCCAGGTGCTTCTCCTGGTCTCCCATGGGGTGCAGGGCCCAAGCACTTGGGCCATCCTCCACTGCACTCCCTGGCCACAGCAGAGGGCTGGCCTGGAAGAGGGGCAACCGGGACAGAATCTGGCACCCCGACCGGGACTAGAACCCAGTGTGCCGGCGCCACAAGGCGGAGGATTAGCCTAGTGAGCCGCAGCGCCGGCCTCAAGGCTTTCATTTTAAGTGTACCATGCCAGATCATCAGTCAGGCCAAGAAGCACCCAAGCTTTATCCCTCTCTTCCTGTTTATTGGAGTAGGAGGTACTACAGCTGCATTGTAGGTCATGTGTCTGGGATTGTTCAATTCAGATGTCAGCTGGGCAAGAAAGAATAACCCAGAACGCTAGATTACAGCAAACTGAAAAAAGAAGGTCCAGACCTCTAAATGAAATGTTTCAGGGCCGGCACTGTGGCATACTGGGTAAAGTTGCCTGCACCCACGTGGGAGATCCTGAAGAAGCTCCTAGCTCCTGGCTTCAGATTGGCGTAGCTCCAGCCGTTGCAGCCAATTGGGGAGTGAACCAGTGGATGGAAGACCTCTCTCTCTCTCTCTGCCTCTCCTCTGTTTAACTCTTTCAAATAAATAAATCTTAAAAAAAAGTTTCACCATAAAGCTGCTTAGAATGAAAGTCTTCTAGAAGCCACCCACACAATTTGCCACTTAATCAGGAAATATTTCTCCTCTAACTGCATGCAGTAATGTTGATTCAATTTACTGATCAGTTTATTACACTGATCAGTAAGTATGTGAAACTTGAAAAAAATAAAGAAAAGAGTGCATGCTTTGGTGATTACTAACCCTAGTGGTGCTGGTGAAATTGGCAAGGTGGCTTTAAAAACAATGTATGTATGGGGCTGGCGCTGTGGCGTAGCAGGTAAAGCTGCCGCCTGCAGTGCTGGCATCCCATATGGGTGCCAGTTCAAGACCTGGCTGCTCCACTTCCGATCCAGCTCTCTGCTATGGCCTGGGAAAGCAGTGGAAGATGGACCAAATCCTTGGGCCCCTGTACCCGCGTGGGAAGACCCAGAGGAAGCTCCTGGCTCCTGGCTTCAGATTGGTGCAGTTTGGCCATTGAAGCCAATTGGGGAGTGAACCAGCAGATGGAAGACCTCTCTCTGCCTCTCCTTTATGTATCTCTTTCATATAAATAAAATAAATCTTTTTTAAAAAATGTACGTATAGGCTGTACCTTTGAGGGTTTTATTCAGTAGGTCTGAGCATGGGCTCTTTTTCTTTCCTTTAAAAAAGGGAAAGCTCTACAGGTTATTCTAACATAGCGCATATATATAGACAGAACTGAGGGGCCATTGTTGTGGCACAGAGGTTAAGTAAGCTGCTCTTATGACACTGGTTTCCCATATCAAAGGTCTGGTTCAAGTCTCAGCTACTCCACTTCCAATCCAGTTTCCTGCTGATGTGCTTGAGAAGCAACAGAAGACGGCCCAACTACTTGGACCCCTGCCACCAGGAAACCTGGATGGAGCTCCTGGCTCCTGGCTTTCACCTGGCCCAGCCCAGGCTGTTGCAGGTGTTTGAGGAGTGAACCAGTAGATGGAAGATATCCTCCACCCTTCCCACCATCACTCTGCTTTTCAAATACACATATAAATAAATCTTAAAAACAAGAGAGAACTGAGAAGGCTAAGGTTTTGTGACAACTTGGAAGAATCACTCACCTAACCCTAGACCCATTCTCTGAGCACTCCAAGCCCACAGGCGTCCCAACTGTCTCTAAATCAGTGGTCTCTATATTAGAATTCCCAGAGAACTTAAAAATCTCAGTGCCCAGGCAAAATCCCAGATTAGTGAAGTTAGAATTTCTTGCAATGGATGCAAGATTCTGTTAAAAAGCTCCCAACTGTGTTGTAGCACAGCAGGTTAAGCCACTGCCTACTACACCACAACCCATGTGGGCACCGGTTCAAGTCCCAGCTTCTCCACTTGCAATCCAGCTCCCTACTAACGGCCTAGGAAAGCAGAGGAGGATGGCACAAGTATTTGGGTCCCTGCACCTATGTGGGAGACCTGGATGAAACTCCTAGCTTTAGCCTGGCCAGCCCTGGCCATATGGGGAGTGAACCAGCAGATGGACGATTCTCTCTGTAACTCGGCCTTTCAAATAAATAAATAAATCTTAAAAAACAAAAACCAAAAAACTCTCCAAGTAATGCCAAAGTCTAGAACTAGAATCAAACCAAGCTACCTTTCATGTATTTCAGTTTAAAATGTAACACGCCTTGGAATTTAAGAAAACCATTGACCAAAGCAAACACGGTAAGAATGTCCTACAGTCTCACAGCACACTGAAGAAAATCGGAAGCTTCTCTAATAATTTAGGGTATGCACAATGCTATCGTACCTTGTCTTCGTACACCCAATCAGGGTAAAGAACTTCAGGAGGGGATGATTCAGAGCATATCTACATTTAGGATGTCAATACAACTTCACATACTATTACAAAAGAATGCAAACTCCGCCTACAGCTAGAGTAGCCAGCATACTGTGTACTTCATAATATCCCTGACCTGAAATTTGTTTCTTTCCAAAATAGGCTGTTTTCATTAACACTTCAAAATTGAACCACTTATGTAAGACAGTACTGCTCCACCTGAAAGTCTGTTATACAAGCTAGTTTCACTCCCCAAGGCTTCTCACTTGCAAACTTGTGTTTATCCTCAGCCAAACTGACTTCAGCTCTTCTGCCCCAAGCGGCCAAATATTGAAAGCAGTAACAACCAGCTCGCAGTTCATTTTTTTAAGATAGATATCTGAATATCTAGATAATACAGACTAAAGTGGTAAAACCCATTTACTGACCCTAACAAATTCTAAAAATTCTGCATTAACAAACTGTTATTTGATGTGTGTCTTTCTAAACTTTTTTTTGTGCATTTACGTGTGAGTGCATGCATGTGCAGTGTATACACACACACACACTTTTTTTTTTCTTAAAAAAAGATTTATTTACTTGAAAGGCAGAGTTACAGAGAAGGGGAGAGACAAAGAGAGATGAGAGGTATCTTCCAACTGCTGGTTCACTCCCCAAATGGTTGCAACAGCCAGGGCTAGGCCAGGCCGAAGCCAGGGTCAAGGAGCTTCCTCTTGGTCTCCCAAGTGGGTGCAGGGACCCAAGCATTTGGGCTATCCTCCAGTGCTTTCCCAAGTGCATTAGAGGGGACTGGATCAGAAACGGTGTAGCTGGGACTCAAACCAGGGCCCATATGGGATGCTGGCACTGCAGACAGCATTTTAACCAGCTTCACCCTAGCCCCAGCCTCAGTT